TTTTTAATACTTGGTTGATGCATTTTCCGAGTGCACTTGAGTTTTCCATTTTATGCAATTTTATACCTTCACAAAACTACTTTTCAGGGCAAATTCACATATTGTTTTACTCCACAACACTAACTTGGTAACCAGGATTAGTTGTTTCTTTGCAGAGTCTAAATTTACATACAAAGTAAATGATCATGTTATGAAAGTTGATACATTATAAGAGTTCAGGGAGTGTTAACAACCGAATAAAAAATCCACCCTATAACATTAAAATATAACGTATTAATCATGATAACAGCAACATTGACTTGGGGTGCGTTTAGTACATTTGCTGATAGGGCTTTGCTTTATCTTCAGTCAAATTTGTGTCATGGAGATAGATCTATTAAAATGAACAAAACAAGTTTAGCCCTGAAAGTTCCTTCTTGTCTTTAGAAATAGAGGTTCGACATAAACTCCCAGCTTAAGATAGAGATGTTTTTACTTTATTTTACTAGTGAGGATTTCAAAACGGATTACCAAAACTCTGATGAGACATTCCCACTATATTCATTCCCAGTTACTCTACAGAAACAAAGCATTGTATCAACTACACCCCTCAAGCTAACCTTACCAGAACAAGGTATAAAATAACACAGAGGAAAGTATGTGGGGGCCCTTTAAGTGTTCTGAAACAGGAGACAGATTTCTGTGAGCAAATCCAGGTGGTCTGCTGTCCTCTGTTATTCCTGAAAGGACACATTTCTCTCTGCAACTTCTGCACTAAAACAGAGGACATGAACTGCACTGGAGCCAGATTGATTCAGTGTGTGAGTGTACATGTGATATGAAGACGGCGTGCGGAGCTGCTGAAGGTGCTGAGAGCTCCTGCAGTGGTGGCAGAGCTGGTAACAGTAAAGCATCTCAGCTCTTGCACTGCCTGAGTATGAATGTGTTACATGTGGGCATGAACTCAATATGGCACTTGGTAAATATGCAGTCAATCAATCCATCAATCGGTAAGTAATGAGCTTATATAAATCTCCTTCCCTTAGGACATCCATTAATATCCTTGTTAGGTTGAACACTGCTCTTTGTACGACCAAATTAACGCTTGGTAGGAATAACAGGACCGATGTGAATGTCCTCGCCTTGCCTGTAACCCGAGAGCCTCAAGGTGGTGCTAAGATCGCCAGGGGCCCCTCTGTGTGAAAAGGGTCCAGTCAGGCTTGGACTGAGTCACACAGAACACTACTCACTCCGTCCACAGCTGCTCACAGCAGGATCCGACCATCTGGACTCAGTTCTGCACTGACAGGGTGGCTCTCAAGGCACATCTGTATGAGGGCTACAGTCACAGTGGGCCCCAGGAATGTGCTGGTGTGGGAGGGAGCTGGGCAGATTTAAGGGATTTAAGGGACCGCAATGCGATATATATCTTTTCACGATGTACAGTGGAGCACGTCTTGTCATCAACATCTGTGTTTAGTTTTTACTGCCAGGGTTAATCTTCAGTTCAGACAGATGGTTTGAAGCACAAACTGACAAATCACATAGATATTGTCAGTTGTTTTTTTATGATGACGATAACTTGTGATATTTCTTTGTCTGGAAATGATAATTGTCAATACTGCTAAATACAGAAAGTCTAAGAAATGTATATGTATGGTATGTATAGGTTTATTACATAAGGAAGCTGACAGGATAGTTATCAATGAATGCCTTGTGGCAAAAAGGTGGGATTTGATACATTTTTACTTGTAACCACTAATTTTTTGATGTGTTTAACTTTTTCTTTTGCATAACTGATGCTTTTCATTGTTTGTATAATATTACATTATTCTGTCTCTCTGCTTGTTTATATGCATTTTATTTTTAAGTTTGCAAAATAAAATTCAAATCGAGTCATCATTACATGCCAGGTGTTGATTATGTTTTATTTAATTTCATTACCATTACAAACTAAGTGTTTGTAATGGTAATGCAATTCTTGAAAACAGATTTTTATTTTTTTCTTGTGTAAAAATAGGACATACTGGTCTGGTGGTCTAATGAGTGAGACCTTTAACCCATTTCGGCAACATTACAAGTTTAATTCCAGCAAGTGTTACTTGTTTGTTTCAGAATGTCACATAGATACTCTCTATATTTCTTGTCTTTATTAGTCTCTCCATACAGGTAAAAAAATGCAAAAACAATGAAGAAAGGTTGGAATGTTCAAATTTGTGTCCTTATTTCTCTAATCGACTGCCGACTGCCCAGGCTTTGGTCAATATAACCCCAAAGTGATTCACACTGTAGCAAAGCAGTTCATCCAGACAGGAGCCTGCTGCATGCATTATTACAATTCCTGGGCCTGCAGGGACAGCTCAGTGCATAATAAGCTGTTCTGTTACCATGGCAACTTTTACTGAAACCCTTAAAGAGCCGCAGGGATAGGGTCAGAGGGCAACAGCAGGTCACACATGATAACCAACACAAGTCCTGTTTTGGATTCTGGGTCTGCAAGTGGGAAAATCTAAATGTGACCCATTGGGTATAACACTGTGATAAGTGGTTGATTAGTGATATATAATGCACTTATCATTGTTATTATTAATTGTCAATCAATCTGTATTTTTTTGTTATAGTGGCCCTAAACAAAAGGCCTTGCTAAACAGGCCAGTGTGGGAACTTTTGATTGTTGTCTAACTTTGTTTGTGTTACACTCTGTGTATGTATTTTGGTGGAAATTGTCTGTATGACAGTAACCGTGCTGTGAAAACGAATTTCCCCATGGGGACAATAAAGTCTAAAGTCTAAAGTATTTGTACATTTCCAATTCATAACAAATTTTATCTCAAGGCACTTGACAAAAAGAGCAGTTCTCAACTGTATTGTTTGTTATATTGTGCAACAACAAGTTACTTTTTTTATGAATAAAACTTTGGTTGGTGTTTTTTTTTAACGACCACATTATTAATTTATGTTGTGTTTTGTTTCCTTTGCCTGGCTGGTTTTCCCCCACCTTTACCTGGATTTACCAGGATTTTCCACATCTGGCAACCCAAAGTGGCATCAATAAAAATAAGTTATATTGGCTGCTTACGACCAGAGTCTCTGTTGGTGGATGTTTTTTTATGTTAATACTTTGTTGCAACAATAACAAAAAATTCTTCTGAACTAAAATCTTTAGAAACTCTTCACAGTTGAAAGTAAAAAATGGAAAATGTTGTCTAATCACTTTGTGTGGAAAGAGATGCAGTCTGAAGCCAGAGCTGCGAGAACACAAAGTAAATGGTGTGAAGTTTTAGAGAACATCTTCAAACACTGTTAATAATTTATCACACAGGTAAACAGCAGCCTGCCTCCTGGGCTTTCTCAACAGAGATCAGCAGTTGTTCTCCTGTATGTTTAGTTACCCAGCACTGGGAGTTGAATAAAGCATGTGTGCATTGGTTTTGCATCAATATGAGCTGTGCGCTGCTCCCTCTGAGGCTGTGATTAATAGGGTCCTTTTCTGGAAGCAATACACATCACTTTCATCTTCAATGCTGCAGTTTAACTGAGGCCTCTTTTACATCACACCCCAGGGCCTCCCCACTGTTTTACATTGTAAATGAAACTTATGAAAGAATTTATTTTCAGGACTGTAAAATAATACCAGGTGCTGCATTTATGGTATAGACATTTACATATCTGAGTTACATTCTAATTGTGTTGTTGCAGTGCGTGCGTTGTAGGTGAATTTAATGAACAAATGTTACATAATCCTGCTTCAGGGATGAAATGGTATCAGAAACAACAGTGTATCAGAGGAAGCTCCACTGTGAATCCACCTCTAAAGCCCATTGTTCTGCTGCCTTTGGCTGTAAGCTTGGCACTTTAAATCCATCCTCATTGAACTGCGTGCAGGAGCTGTGAGCCTTTGGCCCTCAGAACCCACAGGTCCAACGCAAGTAGGCACCTCCCCCTAGTGGTGGGTAACAGAACAGTGTTGACTATTTGTTGGAGAAGGAGTTCATCAAAAGTAGGAAGGCCAGTAAGTGGTGCTTACTTGGCCAATCAGAAGCATTCGGATTTCCCATTGGCTTAAGGGGAAGTGTCAATCAAATCCTCCCAGGGGTTTCATTCTGTGAAATCCTCAGTGCAGTTGAGGAGGTCTTGGAGAACACATCCTCTCCGTGAAAACCTTCTCTCACTCACAGCAGCATTCAGATTTCAGAAAGCAATACTCTGTTATGAAAATATGTGAATGCAAGTAAAGGTCATGAATTCAGAAGACATTCTTACTTTACAGTGAATTATTTAAACTTTATTTATTATTATTTAAATTTCTGAGTAATATTATCTAGAATTACACCTTACTGCATAGTATTATTTTTATTGTAGCTGTATGTGTGAAGACAGTGTTTTTTCATACGGATATTAACATATGTACCTGCATTCTGTTGACAAGCTGTATCATGTCTAGAGTTGTTTTAATACAATGGGCCATGTTTTATGATGTTCAGTTGTTTGTCAAGAAACGTTAATTAACTTCTTATCTGAAATGTTTTCTATAGTAGTATGACAAAACATAGAAATACTTAAGTAAAGTAGGACTTCATATAGATTGATGTTGTTCTTTAAATTATGTAGTATTCTATAGTAGCCTTTTGTAATATGATGGATGGAGACTATATTACATTGTGAAATATTATTAATATTATTATTATTATTAGAAATGGTAGTAGTAGTAGTAGTAGTAGAATTTGTATTATTATTGTACTGTAATTCATTTTACTTGCATATAGCTCTAAAATAAACATCCAGCTTTATATTTGTTGACAAAAAAAAGTGATCACAACCTCCGTAATCCCAGTCTAACATGCCAAGTGTACACATTCCCTTGTCGTATCCATCTGACGCCCGTGGGTGGCAGGGCTGTTACGGACCACTCGACGGTAGGGGGCGGGGCACGGACGAGCGGACTGCTCTCTGATTGGTCAGCGGCGTACGCGTCCCCGTCGTCTCCTCCCGGTTTTCCTGGCATGACCTTTTCCCTTGGCAACCACTTCCTCCGAGCATCCACGGCCATCTTTAATTTTAAATCATTCATGAAAAGTTGCTCGGCTCATGAAAACACACCGAGCGACGCAATTTGCATTGAAAAGCAGCATCGCCAGCGCTGTGTGCATGCTGTTATTCCTGTGACGAGCTACACACACAGCTTGAGCCGAGCCGAGCCGAGTCGAGCCGAGCAGCTGTCCGCCGAGATTAAACACCGAAAGCGTACGTGCATATTATTCTGTTTCGCGTTCCGTGCATCACTCAGGCCCGCTCCTTATTGTGTTTACTGTTCAGTGTTTCAAGTCGTTTCTCTTCACTAAACTCACAGAACCAATACACAGAGTGTGTGTGTGTGTGTGTGTGTGTGTGTGTGTACTAACGTGTTGCGTTTACAGCTGGTGGAGTTACATGGTGTGCTCCCGAACTAAACAGCAGGTGGAGCGCTATAATAAGTGTGGGGAGCATTGTCTGAAGGGCACAGCAGAGTGCACACACCACTGCCATGTTGTTCGGCAAATAACAGTGTTTGTTTTTGTCATCATCGCCGTGGGGTTTTCAGAAAATAAAGACTTTTTTGTTTGTTTGTCTTGTTTGTTCGTTACTGTTCGTGTCTGTAACAGCAGTAAGCCTGTTTTCATTATTTATTCCCGATTTACGACAGGATGAGAAAGAAGCAGACTGCCAAACAGAGGAAGACAGAGGTGACTACAGTTGTCCAGGAGTTTGTGGTTGAAAAGATAATACGCCGCAGAATATTTAATGGAAGAGTGGAGTACTTTCTGAAGTGGAAAGGCTTTACAGAGTGAGTTATATACTGCAGAATCATTTCTTATTTCTTTTCTTACCCTTAATGTGTGGTTTTCTGCATGATTTTACCCATTTTGATGTGTTTGCAGTGCTGAAAACACATGGGAACCTGAGGACAATCTGGACTGCCCTGAACTGATAGAACATTTCCTAAACACCCATTTCTCTGAGGAGAATGAGGAAGAGCAAACTGAAGTAGGGTTCATTTTCAAAGAAGAAATGACAGAGCAAGAGACGGAAATTGTGAGTTTTTAGGAGATGATTGGATAGTCTGTGAGATGTTTTGAGTTGTTTCCATGTTATTTAAAGAACTTCCTCAGCTAAATCTGTAAAAACAAAAACATGTATTATTGGAATATTTTTTTTGATATGGGGCATTGCTTTATTTTGCTGCTACACCTTGAACCTTCAGGAAGGTTTTTTTCTTCGTGAGAATTAAAACAGCCAGATGTATGTTAATTCAAGTGTCCCTGTTTAAACACTCATATTGAAACTTAAAGTGTGTGAAAGTCATTAATGTCGCATTCCTCATGAAAGTGAAAGTAGACACATTTCCTTTATTTTGCAATAGGAATGTACAGTTAGAAAGAAAAAAAACACATCTTGATGCAGACGTCTTCTTGTGTTTTCACATTTGTCCTTGTTACTCTCTTTGCAGTCCTGTCTGCAGTCTCAGCAGCGGACTCCCATCATGCAGACCAACAGCGATGTCCTCGAGCAAAATGACGAGCAGTCAGACACCCCCACTAACCTCAGCACTTACCTCGAGCCTGAATGCATCATTGGCTCCACAGACAGACAGGGAGAGCTCATGTTCCTTGTCAAATGGTAAATCAGCGGTGCCCTCTCTTTTGTCCTTGAAACATTTGCATGATGGAAAAATCTTGGTTGTTTTCATTTAAAGCTGCAGTCTACATGTTCAGTTTACATCAAAGCTGGTGGAGAGTCTAATTTCACTTTTATGAGCATGTTTTATGATGTGGGCATATCAATGTGGGTATTAAGTTAGGTAGTAGGAAGTTAGATGTCATTGACCTCCACCAGCTGATAAAACATTTTTAATATAAGCAGTCAGAGTCCATCTATCAATGCTAAACATGCTGAAGGGGAACATTTGGACAAAAAGTTGTTTTACGAGTGATGGGCAGTACCACTGCGCCTGTAAGAGTTGAATGTTGTCTTCTGTGGATCTTAAGGTGCTGTGTTTCTATTAGCTTTGGCTCTCAGTATATGACTTTTTGATCGAATGCTTATTTGCAAAACAAGCAGGATGGGTGGAATTGTGTAAGCTGTTAAAATGCTGGGGAAATGTCCTCTCTTCAATTGAGGAGGACAACTCTAATGGCACAGCCTTATCACAGTCCCACATGATCATATGGCAAAAAAGTTCAATCCTGCTCAACTTTTCAAAACACAATCTGGCTTTAAGTAGAATAGAATAAGTTATCATTTCAAAATATTGAAAAAAGTTATGGCCAAGAATTACAGGTAGGGGGATATAAAGTCAATAAAAGTTGTCTGCTGCCTTGATTTTGACCACTATGCAGCACTTCACAAGAAATCCAGTATTTAATATTATTTATATCACTTATGTCCGAAATACTGCTATCTATATACAAACATGAGTGTATCAGTAGTAGTATTAGTACTCATTTATTTCGGTCAACATATACAGTTTTCCATTAGGAAATGCTAGAATAAAGATACAAAGGCATGTGCATTCAAGTAAAGACAAGAAGAAGATTTTGACAGAAAAGGTGAAGGCTGAAGCTTTAGCATATTATACCTACTCTTACTACAAATCTTATTATTTTAGGCACTACTAGTTTGGTTACAAAAAAAACAAAATATATCAATAATGTATTGAGACAAGAATGTGCTCTAAAAAAAACTTAACAACAAGGGATCTCTGCTGCGCAAAGATTTATCTCACATTCACAGTTCGATACAGCCATCGTCATGGTCCCCTTCTCCATTTTGTTTCCCCCACAGGAAGAACTGTGATGAAGTAGCCTTGCTACCTGCCCGCGAAGCCAGCGCCAGGTGTCCCCAGGTTGTCATCGACTTCTACGAGCGGAAGTTGACGTGGCACTGTGGCGAAGAGGAGCTGTGAAGTACATGGATAAACAGATCTGCTCTCACCTGAAGCTTAGTTTAACCTCCATCGAGTGTCCTCCCCCAGCTGGCATCAGAGGCAAACTGTGTGCAGAGTTTCAGATCCTGGCAGGTTCGAGATCCTCAGCGGGGATGGATTTTAAGTGCTCTGGCTCCTGCGGTGCTCAAAGAGTTCTCTGTGCCTTTGTGCAGGCTGTGATGGAGACTAAATCTAACCTTGTGTGTAGAGTGGCTGATTTTCTGGGTCAGACTAACCTGTAGCAGCTTTTGGTTCTGTGTAAGCAGACAAAATCACTGTGGACGTGTTTTTATTTGTACTGTTACTGTTGTTTAGCTACAAAGTTGTTGAGTGTGTGCTTTATATTTTGGATAGCAGCACTATGTAGAGAAAGTGAACCAACTACTGTCCAATCTGTTCCTCCAGTTGATGTAGCGCTGACGATTGTAGACACGTTGTTTCAACGTGTGTTATCACAGCTTTTTCTGGGCGTTACTAGTTCTGAACCCTTGTGATTGATGTGAAGTATTTCAAATGTTGCCCACTTGAAATGTCCTTATATTCCAATCAGCTGCTAAAGACCAAATGTTCCCTTCTCTCTGTTTTGAATGAAGGTAGTCAAAACTATACTTGTCAATACCACATGTTGTAAAACAACACAATCTCTGTTACTTTAAAGCTCCTGTGAGGAGTTTTAAGTTGTTTAGGAAACAGACTACATTTAATTATTTGACCTACAAAAGCTAATGCAACCATCAGATTAAAAAAATAATTCTGTATTATTTTTGATAATGACAGATGAGATGATTAACAGCATTCTGAAAAGTAGCCTCTTCTTAATTTTTATTTTACATTTTCCAGAGCAACGTGAGGTCACAGTGTGTGCTATGTTTCACTGTTAAAAGAAAGCAGGACACGATTCATCAGATTTCATCAAAAAAACCCTGCTTATACATATACAGAAAAAGATCAGCAAAGAGATAAGACAAGTCCACGGGAGGCGCCAAAATTGATTAAATTAAAATTCCTCACAGAAGCTTTCATGCCAGATAGTATTGAAAAGTACCAAGTTAAAAAAAAAAATCAGATCTTTATTAATATCTTAAACCAAAAGCTGCCATGAGAGAGAGAGAGCACTGTCTAAATTGCACAAATACTGTGGCAAGTGGCAAATCATTTTTGCAATTTAGACAGTGTGCAGGAGTTTTCTTGCAATAATTGGTAATTAAAAAAAAACAATTTAGGGTACCCTGGACTTGTATTTTGGTTGCCTTGCATCAAACAGATGTTAATATTGTTTAAACATCTGGTATTGTGACAACTCAATATTGAATTCTTAGAAGTAAATTGTAGAGATTTCCAGATCTTATTTGGATCTTACACAAAGTAAAGTCCTGTCAGAATTAAGTGAAAAAGCAATACATTTTCTAAATCAATTTAATTTGAAGATAACATGATTTGATCTGTGCACATTTGATGGCTGATCAGATTGTTAAATGTAGCACCTTAGATATGAGACTGTCCTATTATGCGGGGCCTTTTTCCTCCAGTAATTCTATAGGTCCATGTAAATGATACATGTATTCTCATGACACTGTCTTGACTCGACATATCTCCCATGACTGTTATGGGACTCAACTGAACCTTAAACCCTACTGAAACACACCTGCTACTGACTTACTGTAACTGTTGACCATGGATCTGTGAAGTCTGTGAATAAAAGAACAAAACCTTTTGTGAAGCTTTTTCTTTTGTTTTTCCTTTTCACATTGGTCACATGGTAAATCATTATGAAGCAACATGAGGAACAGTTTCAGTTTGCTCACAGCTGATTTACAAACATTAGCTAAGCTGTTGGATTTGTTTTAATGGCTTGTACATGACAGCCAAAAAAGCGTGCAAAGTAGAAGTTGATTGATCATTCTGGCACATTTTACCTGCCAGCTCTGTTACTCAGTAACAGGAGAGAGTGTTGCTGATTTGATTTCACTGTGAAAAGGAGGAGTCTGTCTCAGTCTTGTGACTTCATTTTGAAACCTTTGCTCCTGGACAATAAATATAAAATGCCCAGTGCTTGACACAGCAGTATTTGGTTGACTTAGCTTCAGTGAGATTTAAGCAAGAAACTCTGGATTATGAGAAAAGTAACAGAAAATACTGGGAATCAGGTAGGTCAGATTTGTTTTATTTTCTGGTTTGATTTCAAATAGTTTTATATGTTCTTTAAACATAAACATTTAATATGTCACATTGAGTTAAGCAGCTTTCAACTCTGGCACAGTCTTGAAAAACAACTTTTTTTTCCCCAATGTTGGATATTTTGAGGGAGTTTCCTGTCCTGATTCTTGTGGATTTAGTCATAGCACTTCCTCTCTCTGAGTGTAAAAACACCTTCCTCTTTCTCACTAACAGTTTATTGAGTTCAGTGTCTCAGCGTCTCTCCTGCCTTCTCCATGCAGCCGGTTGTCAGTGTGTGGGTGAGGGACCCGCGGATAAGAAAGAATGACTTTTGGCATGCCTACATAGATTATGAAATTTGTTTACATGTGAGTACAGTGATAAAACAGTTACTTTATTGTCTCGAAGTAAATAATGGAGCTTACTGTGATATATGTGTATTATTTGTGTCCTGATTTAGACCGACAGTGTGTGCTTCACAAAGAAGGTCTCAAGTGTAAGAAGGAGGTTTAGTGAGTTTGTATGGCTCAGGCAGAAACTACAAGAAAATTCAATGCTCATGTAAGTCAACATATTGTATTTTGTACATTTATACCTTCACTTTGCACATTCAAAGCAATCGGACTTTGGTTACTTTTATGGAAGCCCTTAAAAGACATGCAATCATACATTTTCTTGTACTCTTTTTTGTGATAAGTCAATATTGGTTGTTTTCTCGAGATCTCGATGGCAAAGCCAGTTTTGTTATCTTGAGATTGAGAAGTTCAGATTTAGAGAAAACAACAGGAAATTAATCATTATCACAGGAAGATGGAGTAAAGCAAAATGTGCAAACGTATATCCGCTTAGGGCTTCAATATATTCTAATTCCTGAGGGATATCTGTGCTTCTTTTAGGGTACAGCTACCAGAACTTCCCCCAAAGAACCCTTTCTTTAGCCTGAACAATGCCCAACAGATCACTGATCGGATGAAAGGCCTCCAAAAGTTTCTGGAACAGTAAGAGTGACTTCAAAGAGCCATAAACTTATGAACTTTAATATACTGAAACACAGAGATAACAACATTGATGAATTAAGATTTCCATGAAAACCTCATGACAGCCCTTTTTCTCATAAGCAAGTGATAACATAAGCTGTGTTCGTTCAACGATCTAATTTGTTTTCTGCCCTTGTTTCCCAGAGCCCTCCAGAGCCCTCTGCTGCTGTCCGACAGTTTGTTGCATCTTTTCCTGCAGTCACAGCTCAGCGTGTCCAAGATGCAGGCCTGTGCAGCTGGAAGGACACACTATTCTGTGGCCCAGGCAGTAAAGAATTGTGGTCTGAGGCGTTTCCACTCTGAGGAGGATCTGAAGAAGGACCTGAGCATGTCCTGTGACTCTGACTCTGACAGGTATATAAATATGGCGGAAATTGGAAATTGTTATCCAATCCCAGCAAATATAGTTTTCTCCCAGAGAAATGAATTGGTATAGCAGGTTCTTTAATAATATATTAGCACCCATTATTGTGTAAATAACCATTTCGATGAGAATTCTTCATGCCTTTTGTTTTCTTTGCCAATACATGCCTTCAAATAAACACACCAATGTTTTAATGACAATGGTAATTATTAGAAAATTCCGTCTGCTTATTTCCCTAAACAAACACTTTCCATCTACACTTCCCTTTTCCCATCCCTGTCATTTCAGCTCAGAGTGTCGAGGTCCAGAACCTCGGATTAAAGCTTTGGCATTTAAGAAAGCAGCTAGTTCGGCTTTACTCGATCTCAAGGGGACCAGCCAGGAGGAAAACTTAAGCTGCACATCTGAGTCTACATGAAAACATCATCAGCATCAGCTCACTGTGAGACATGATTTGACCTGAGAGGAAGATATTTGCCTGTTACCCTGTCATACTGCACTTTTCGTTATGTATATCTCTTAATTATTTCACTTGTAAAAATCAAAAGCTTTTGTGCTCCCACAAAGACATTTGAGTTTGAAATATGTAATGAAATGTCGTTTAAATGCACAATTTTATTTTTTGAATCCTTGTTACTAGTCTGTTCTAATCTGTACAGCTATAAGGCAATGGCAACAACTTTCCTGAAGATGGCAGTGTTGCTACATTCATGTGATTGCATTTTCCCTTCACCCATTCACATCTGCTGTCACTGTCCATATTTACTTCATAAACAATTTTAGCAAAAGAATCATTCTAGATATTCACAAGATTCATTTTTCCAGATATGTGCAGAAAACAATGAAATATTTTATCCAGTGACAGCCGACACAGGAGCTTGTCATCTAGTGGCCACTGCAGTGCTTAGCAGTATGACATGTAGTAGAGTCTCTGTACAGTTTCCATACAGCTCCCCCGTCAGGTGTGGGGCTGGCAGGAGGTCATGAGGGATCCCAAAGGACTCTCTCCTGCATGAGAAGGCTGTTAGGTAGACAGGCTTCATTGTTCCCCGCTGAACAAAATGCCAGCTGCACTGACAGGCTACCTTTCCTATCTGTCTCTCTCACAGTGTACTTTCACTGCAGTCGCATATCTCTCTACATATCTGTGCATGTGTGTGCAGAGTGTGCTCCCACAGCGAGCGGCACCATGCTTATGCAGAGGTAATGACCACTTAACAGTGACGGCATACTGACATATCTGCAGAGCTAATTACACTATAGGTTTGTCACTCTGCAGCAGCGTTGATGTTCATTATTATTACTTCAGAGTATACAAAAGGATTGTGTAGGTTGAGAACAATCAGATGTGGGTGTAAAGTGTATGTTTGATCATGTGCATCCACTTATGGTAACGTAGCACAATGTGGATGATGTCTTTGTCAGTCATAGTGTAGGTGGGCATTACCCTGCACCTTCAAACACATGCACTAAGGCTGTTATTATGTATGAATAACAAATTCATATATTGCTGTCTCTTTTTTACACTGTATTATCGACAGACCTTTGAATAAAATATCCAAAAATTGTTTGATCATTATTCAAGTTAATATATGTGAATGTAATTTTGACAACTCAGAGCAGACAGAGCCTTGTGCTGATTAGCCACATAGGATGTTGAAGTAAGCTTTTTTTACACAATTTGAGCCCTTGGAAAGACAAACCTATCTTGTCATCGCTACATGAATGGAATAACATACAGAAAATAATTTGAGCAGTCAGTGATTTTATTCAAAAATAAAACAAATTAAATTATCCTTGTATTGTATATAACCTCACATTTACAATGTTTCTAAGGGCAATGTCTCCTACACTTTGTTTATTGCATGGACATTTTGTGAGAGATATACCCTACAATTAAAAACACAGACATTGTGGTTAATTTATGGGGAAGTTCTAGGGTATTTGGAATAATTGTGTTTAAGTCGGAATATTGTTGAGGCGTCCAACATAAGAATAAGGCCAATAAGTATTTGAGAAGTGTAAATGGATGCTTGGATGAATAAATAGGATATAAAAACTCAAGTTATTAAAACATTTTAGAGACCTTAATTTAAGTTTCTGGTCAGCATTTTATGAGCGTGGTGAGGGGTGTGTTTGGGAGACGATGACCTCAGTATTTCAAACATCCTGGCAACATTACAACTTGAAGGCAGCTAATGTATGAGGCTGAACATCCCGAAAATATGCAGCATGTCACATTAGTTTGAGGAAGGGATTTTGTTGGGATTTGAACAGCTGCAAAGAGAGTGTATGTTGTCTCTGTTAAGTAAATCACACATGCATGTGTCATCAAGTATCCCCAAGCTTAGCATATGCTAACTGCTCTCTGTATAAAGAGAATAAACCTTGTGTTGTTGCATATAGTCCCATGGATTGAAACGTTTACATTGCTGGTTTCAGTCATATCTGTCCAGCAGTATTGACTCTGCTTTAATGGTCTGTGACTCTGGTCCATTGGCTGTTAACCTCCAGCCACTGTAGCCTATCCTGACAGTGTGGTTCTGCTGCCATGACAACACTGACACATTTAAACCCATCAGATCGATTGGCTAACAGCTCCCTGCTCCATGTTGTGTGACCCTGAAGAGGTCAGATGGAGTGATACCATAAAATGAATCTGCTTTCGGTGTGGGTTCATGTCAGATAAAACAACATTTATTCAATAGAGTACAGGAGAAATCAAGTTTACATTATTTCCCTTAATGCTTTAAGCTCGGTTCAATCTAATTAGCATGCTTATTGTTTCACACATAAAGCAGAAGAAGGTAAGATAAAGAAGAAAAGCTCCTCAGGGAGATGCCCATCTGCCTCATACCAAGTCAGCACAGCTATAATAAACCCCTCCTCACGCCCGCAATCTAATGCCTGACTTATTATTCCTACTGTTGTGTTATTAAGACAGAATCACGAAAAGGTAAGAAGAAGAAGAAATCTGTTTCATACATGGGAAAGAACCAAATCATCAAACTGGAATGTGACAATATGAAATCCCAATCAGCATCCATTTACTGCATGGAGCCAAAAACAAATGGAAGTATTGAGGGAGTTATGCTCCAGTGGAGGCAAATTACAGATAAATCAGAGGCTGCTCATGCATTTTAAGTGCCACATTATACAGAATCCATTAGTAGCAATAGGACTATAGCAGCACTTGAGATATTAAATCTCTTTGCCTGCAACTCAGGAACCAGAATGAGTCAATATCAGGGGAGCCCAGCTGCACTGTCAATAGATAGGAGATGAAACCTTAAGGAAAGAAGCCACACTAACAAAAGTAATATGAAAAAGGCACTACAGGCTGGCCATAGCTTTTTAAACAGCAAGGCCACAAAACTTCAACAACCTGAGAGTCGAAAAAAAAAGATATTCAGATGTTAGACTTGACGCTGTGTGCACGTCTTTAGGTGTGCGCATACACAAAAGTCAATATTCTTCCACCTGCACAGGATATAGTGGATAGAAAATACTCTTTCTCCAGGCTAAAACATTTTCACTCCAGCGCTCAATCATCCAAAATGAAAATGTGCAAACTAGGAGCTATCCATCATTCATCAAAACTAACAGCCATCTTCATTCACAGCGTGGCTCATACTTTCTTTTTCCCACCTCCACATGCTTTTTTCTTTTGGTACATAGAACGTGAGAAACAGCTCCTCATCTCCTTGAATCAGGGTTGATCAGCATGAAATCCACTCTTCTCAATAAGAAACATGGGCCCTGAGGGGCAGAAGGGAAATTGAAAAGAGTGCTTTATAATTTCCTGAGATAATGAGGTGTAAAACCAGGCATTTTGCCTCTTTATTAAAAGAGATGGTGAAGGGAGGATCATGTGCTAAGTAAACACATATCTTCTTATGCACATTGTCCTAACTGGATCATAAAGGCTATAAATGAGCTCAAGATACTTCTGATGCCTATCCTTTGTGAGTTTGATTCTGTGCACGGGGGAACAGCTCCTCCTTGTGTCACAAGATCATGTGTGAATAACAACCCCTCCTGACTAATGTCTTGTTAGAGATGAAGAACAAGTAGAGAAGGGGCTCTTTGGACAGTTCAGTGAGTGGAGAAGCTCCCGATGGTGGCAGAGAGAGGACCATAAAGGGGTGGAGAAATGAGGAGGGGGAAAAAAATAAAGGGGTAGAGGGCACCGTCTCCCGAGGCCTCTGTGCTTCACTGCCAGTGTGTGTAAATCAGCAGGCAGCTCACGGCTGCAATGAGGTAGAAAATAAAAAAAACATAAAAATGTCCGAGTGAAATAAGAGGCAAGGAGAAATCTTTTATGATAAGTCTAAATTCTCCTTACTCTGCAGTAGATCCACTGGCCAGCTCAGCTTGTCTTCTCCAGACGCAGTCCATCATCCCAGTGTCTGCACACAGTCACAAATTACTCATATGACCCCACCTGCTATTCATGTAATACATATGTAATGAGTTTCCTAAATTCACATGATTATCATTCATGGTATGTTAATATGTCCGTATCAAGTTCATTAATATGTATGTAAATGTTGAGGACTGCCAAACCAGGGTGTCCATATCTGCAGATAATGTCTAAAACACATACACATCTATCAACATGCTTAAACTTTTCATTAAGAACTTTTTTTGATCATATATAAAAGTTCATTCTTGGCCTTTTAAAACAGTTCATTTACCAAAAAGTGGTCTGATTCCTTTATTTACTTATTTATATGAAATAGGGACAGTGCACATTAATGAACATGAAAATGTAAATATGCCAGATTGAGATTCAAGTCACTGGCAAATTTTCATCTGTAGTCCCGGGCAGGTTGGTGGTAAACAGGAAAACAAGTTTCATAAAACCACAATGACAAGCAAAAACCAATAAAACAAGTAATGAAAAAAGAACAACATATACTGTACATTAGTAGTCAGAGACACATAAATAAACCAGTGTAAAGAATGGCTGTTTGATTTTGTTCAGAACAAGCCAGTAAAAACTGACCATCAGAGTTAAAAGTGCTTAAAGTGCATAACGTGCTTATGGTTGCTGCTCCTTGTCGTCTTCTTCAGCAAATAAGGCAGAAATATTTGCCTTTATGAATCTATATCATCGTATTTATTCTGTTTTATAACATTCACCTTAAGTTCCATGTTCTCACCCTATAAACATCAGCATTAGCCAGTAAGAGACATGTTTATATTCAGTGCCAAATTAAAACAGATAGATACACTGTAATTAAAAAAGTTATGAAAATATATAATTCATGCTTTCATAAGAATTAATTCCGGTTAAAAGACACCCATGTTGATTAGAAAATCTAAAGGGATTGATTCATGTAATTACTTTTGTAAATGTCAATGTTTTTAAGTAACATGAGAGAACGTCCAGCAGACCAACTTACTTACATGAGTGAAGTAAGTTGGTCAAAACTGCTAAATGGTGTGCTGATTTGGCTCAGTCAGTAGAGCAGACATCGCATGTAAAGAGGCTTCAGTCCTCGTCACACTGGTCCTATAGGTTCAATTCTGGGTCATGTCGCTAAATTTAGTGAATGTCAAACCCAACTCTCTCTCCTTTCATTTCCTGTCTCTCTAAAGTTGTCCTATGAAAGCCAAAAACGCCAAATAATAATATAAACAAACACAGCAAAATGATTCAAATGTGAGGTTAATTTCATAAGAAGAAGGGATGTTAAGCTCTTCTCTCTCTTAATGAGGTGGCAAATCTGAAGGCCAAAGTCCTCCTGCCTAACTTCTCCACCAAAAACAAACTTTTAAACAAATCTTTGAGGATTTTTGTCCCTAACAGATACATCTCTCTAAACCCTCTCCTCATAGTCCTTCTAAAAAATATAAAACACCTTAAAGATCTTTGTCTGTCTTAAACAATCCAATGTAAGAATCGGCTCTGTTGAATCGAATTACCGAGAAAGTTATCTCAAGAACAGAACAGATTTTTTTATTTTTCTGAGATAATTAACTCATTAAAGAACAAAATATATGTATTGTCTTGTGAGAATGAAATACGCTTCAATCACCTCTACTGATCATATAGTGATGTTTTTTTGTCTACTCTGTGTATTTGAATGGTCACTCTGTACAGACAAGGTGCTCCACATGTACCCTTGGCTTGGCTTTAAATTACACCAGCCAGGTTAGCTTGGCAGGACCTGTGCTTGGACACATACCAAAGCTGACATTATGCAAGAGTGATGGGTACTCTCTGCTACATCCAGTGACTCTGTTAGCTCAGCAAGCTCATGTAACTCAACCCTCATACCTTTACTTCCTCTGTCACACAGAAACGTTACTATATTAAGAGCTGACATTTGAGCTGGAACCTCAACCTGAATGTGAGGTCATTACAACTAGGCGCATCTTATCCATCTGAGTGGGGGGTGAAATAGGGAAAGAGAAGAAGAGAGAGGAGGTATCAGTCAGCTGTATGGAGTTGTGAAAGGTACAGTGTGAAGAGGGCTGTAATTACAGTTAGAGCACCTCTGACCTCTGCTGATTACAAACTATCCTCCCAAACCATTCAGGGTCATTACTCACGGCATTAACTAGAAGAGTAAATCTAGGCGGAACAGCGACCTGATATTAGAGCCACTGCCAGAAAGTAAACAGGGGCAGAGTATGGAGGCTGGAGCCTTGTAAATAATGTGCGAGGAGCTGGAGCAGGCGTGGGAGATGTTTATAGCAGGTGGACAAACACCTGTCATTTTGATAAGACTGATTTATCTTGAATGACATGTCAGCACATAGCTCTCCTCCCGCCTGACAGCTTAGACTGCAAACCACCCCAGCCAGGAATATGAGACCGCTTTCCAACACTGATGCTTACAGTTAGAGAAAGAGATGACAAGCAGACCTGCAGGGACAACAACTTCATCAGTTTGAATTATCAGCTGGGACATTCACATTCATTCTCACATAAGTAACACTAATGCACTAAGCTAAACCACAACAAAATAAAAAGAACTCTTCTTTCTCATTTTCTTACAAAATGAGTTGTAAGTATTTAATAGAGTGAGTTAATTATCACCCTCTTTGCTTGGTAGACAAGCAGCAGAATGAGAGATAGTACTAAAAAGTTCACTTCTTCCAACTGAAATTCACCATATTCACATGGCGACCATTCCCTTCTAAATACATGGGTTGGAAAGTTGAAATACAGTAAATATATAGTAATGGTACGGAGGCCCTTAGTGGACATTCATCCATGCATTTTATTTACTCTATTTAAACGATTATTTTCCTGTTGTTTTCTTGAGATCTTGACTACTTTTTCTTTGTATCTCAAGATTTAGTTTTCCATGATAATCCCACAATTTTTTTTTCTTCAATTCTAAAACTCTTTTAGCAGACGTCTTTGTCTGCTAATTGAGATAATGAGATGACAATGAGAAAGCAATAGGGATAAGCATTTTCATTTCATTTCAATATTCAAGTGCTCTCTTTACCTAATGAATGAGAGAGACCTCACAAATTATTATTGTCTTTTTTTTACTGTAAAACATCATTTGGACACAGACTTCCTGGAACCTAGTCTACTATGTTTTCTGTGGTGTGTCACTCATAAGTACTGGGTGTTTGTAGGACAGTGATCTTTAAAGTCCAGTTCTGAATAAAATGACAGTTGATGGTAACATATGACTCTGTGGTGAGATCTGTCCACAAATCTGTATTATTAACAGACACTTTTTCAAACAGTCACATTGAGTACTCAAGTAATTGAACACATCCCAAGAACACAACGTATTTGTACACGTTCACTTAGGGCTTCTGTATGAAAGTGATTTCTACAAATCTGAAAAAAATTAGCCTCTGTTAGCACTTTTCAATTGATCAGCAACTGAAACAAAAAACAAAAATTCTAAAATCTGGTAGGACACTGAGCAATAATATTTATATTTTATATTCTTTAAAAGAAAACTATCTGACATTAGCTACTGCTACATTACTCACATTAGCATTTAACAAATCCCCAGTCATTGTTACTGACAGTGTTGCACAACATTATATGCAGAAAAAAGCCTAATTCTTAATAGCCAATATTAGGACAGCTAGAAGATTTAGCACCAACAAAATCTTAGCTTACATTACCTTTAGCTAGCTAACATCATTAGTTAGGATTCCCCCCTTTCATATCCTATCAAATGATGTCGTTAGCTATAGGAAGTGGTTCAATATCAACGTTATCTGGTGTTAAATAAAATCAGGTTTTTTAAATGTGTTGTTTTAACATGTAATATGAATGAAGACCAATCATTCTCTATTGTATCGCTAAAACAATTGAGGAGCAGTGAGGACAAAGTTGTGTGTGGGATGTTTACAAACCTGAAACGCAGCAACACAACATGACCTTTTCCATAGCAGTATCTGAACCCTGCATGACAACAGGTAAATGGGAGTCATGTGAATATGGTAGAGTTCCCTGTGTCCATGCATCACAGGCATATGACAGTAAAAAACAAAAAAACAAAATAAAGCATTTTACTGATACATTTCCCAAATGTGGGTAAACAGTATGTTTGATGTTTGCATATAAAATAACAATGTGACAACAACCGAAGTGAGACTTGCTGTTATGGACCAGGTTTAAATTGACATAATCTAGGAGGTTGAAAGTGATGCGCACAAGGCCTGAAACTGGACTTTCAGACAGAGGAGCAACATTGTCTCCACTCCATATTCTGAGAGATACAGGTCTCCATGTCATCACAGTCAGCAAGTACAGATGAAGAAGGATGCACAGACATTGTTAACATGTGAGAGAAAAGGGTGTGGTGCTTGTAATAAATAATGTACAAAAAAACATACTTTTTTGCGTACTGCCTGGTTTTCAGTTTGAAATATAACACATTCAATATGAAAAATAAAACATAAAAAATCCTAAAAGGGATGAAAGTGTACGCCTCAAAGCCACCTGTCATTATTTCTGCCAGCTTTCACTTTAAATACACCATGTCTCCTCACTATGTCATAAGCTAACTGCAGAAAAAAACTGAATTTGTCAGCTGCCATGAGTTATGTTAACAGAAAGTGACCTCAATTAAGAGTGACTTGCATTTAAAAAGTGTCTATATCAGATTTTCGGATTTAGATGTGGGGGTGTGGGGGAGTGGGGTGGCTTTAATGGAACGCTGACAGAGGGCCAGTTGGAAAGGTAATACATTTCCTGCAAAATGCCAGGGGATACCACATAAATAAAGCAGTGTTATTCCTGACAGAAACTCCGCATGAAGCCGTGCTGTGATCTACGGCTGAGTGACCCAGATAAAGAGCAGCAGAAACAGCTGACAGCTTGATCAAGATTACCTCTCTAAATTGGTATAGATCAAGCCTCTAGCCTTCTCAACAAACCTCAGGGGTAACTGTACATGATGGTGCCAAACAAAAACAAGCTACCTGTGATTATCATGAGAGTGACGGTGTCCTGACACTTATTACCCCACAATGGTCTCCCTAATTGACATGTTTCAAGGGTCATTTAGGGAGAATGACATCAAGGTAAAGCATATAGCAGGTGTTAGAGCAGGCTGTTTAGAAAAGAATACCTGATCAGTAATTTGTCAGATTAAAATGACTTTGAATGTCTTCTGTCCTAAAGGGACATTTGTTTTATATTCTAATCATCTTTTTAAGCAAATCCAATGTTATTTACCGTTACTTAGCTGCTCTTTCTTTATCTATTTGGCTGGTAAAAGTGTACTTTTATGGTTGCAAGTATTAATTAGTGATATTCTGGAATCATTAGTGTAATTTAGTGTTCCTTAGATTAATGGCACAGTGGCATTTATCTATGAAACATTATATCTTGATGTTAAATTGCAATAAAAGAACCTGTATATTCTGAGGATATGGCTGTCCACATCTAAGAGGGGGGATGGGGTGTAGTTGACATCCATTAAGGAAATCCTTTATTGGCACATAAAAAATGAGAGGCAATATTTAGCCTTACTTGCCTTTGGCAACCTAACCCATAGCCTTACATTAAAAGGGGGGAAATCCAGAGCTATAAAGAAATATTTGTGTTTCTGATTCACAAATTACAAAAAGCATGTTTTAAGTGTCCTTTAATCTAAAAGATAGTGCTTCAAACATACATTAACATTGTCAGTAATGTTGTAATGTGTGAACATCCCGTTTTTTTTCCTACATCCCCAAAAAAGCATTTCCTTTCCCATCCAATGTAGTATATTCAATAACTAATTATGGTAATTCATTACATCTCCAATTAGCAGAGAGGCTTTATTGCTGCACTGTACCGTAAAGAGCAAGATTTATGTTGGCTTTGAATGTCACCCAGAGGACAGAGGACGAGCTCATCACTCAGTGGGAACAAAACAGAGAGACAAGAGCGAAAGAAAAATAGAGGGAAGACAGAGGAAAAAGATACAATGAGGTATTGTTTAATGATCACATTTTGCTTCGTTTTCTGACATCCTTGAAAGAACCTTGGCAGGGACCATTTTGTTTTCGACAGCCGAAAAAGGAAAGCAATATTCTTATAAATTAAAAAAAATGCATTGCAACTTTTTGTATGTCAGCTAGGAGATGGTAAAAAAGATATCTACAGTATGTGTGTAACCTCAGTGGGATAAGCCCAGCAAATGCAACCTCGCCTGCTGTCAAACAGCTCCTTAGAGGGTGATAAGTGTCCCTGCTATCTGTGAGGGTGGTTGTCTTATTAGTGCACCTCAGCCATTTCAGTCAGGCATGCAGCTCAGCCAGCCATCTGCCACACTGTGATCCTCTGGCCAGCTATGTCTCTCAGGTGCCATAAAAAGAAGCCCGGCATCTCTGTGAAGCTTGGGATAAAAGTGCTGACCAAATGAAGAAAGTCTTTCTTTTTAAAAACAGATTAATAACTCTTCACGCAGGAGGAGTTGTACTTGATTTTAACAGAGGCTTGATTTTTACTCGTCTGCATTATAAAAGGAAAATCATGTTTCAGTAGCCTAAAACATTTTAGACAACTGCACTCCTTACGTTTTACCCAAAGATAATTCTTCTACAAATCTATTATTTCTACTTTAAGCATCTCTGTCACAGGTGTAATCTATGACCTCGGGAGAAACTCTATTGCCACCTTGTGGCTTAAGTGGAAAATTAAATAATTAAATTAAAAGCTTTCATAAAACAGGTATGTTTACAGCTTTATTCCTCTAGCCATTAATACATGATTCATTTGCAAAAAAATAATTCAAGAAATGTTGTGGATAAACAATTACAGAAAATGACTGTGAACAAGCAGTAGAAAAATACTTTCAAACATGGTCTTCAGGAAATTGTCATCCAATCACTTCACTTGAAAATATTACATCTGCAATTTCCTGTTATACATTTGAATTCTTTAGATTTGTACAGGGCAAACAATAGTTCAAAATAAAACGTGTTGATGTAGCAACTCACACAGCATGTGTTTATAGAGCATAAAGCTCCATCAGGTACTCTTTGGGAACGATTCCTATCGCTCCGCTCTTCTCTCCGACCCACCAGCCGTAATTCTGGTACTCCTACAGACATGGATAAAGAGGAATAGAGAGGATGACACAAGTGTGATGAAGACACGACTATTTTGTATCTCTTTTAGTACAGGTAGTCATCACTACCAGAAAACAAACTGTAATTCAAACATGAGATTTTAAATCACAAACTGAGATCCGTCTTAAAATTCAAATGTCATGTCAGCGTGATTTTTCACATCACATGAAGAGCGGTACCAGATGTGAGGGCAGGGAGGAATGACAAATCTCAGCAGTCTGATGAAGGCATAAAATTCTCTTTCACTCGCTCCTCCAAAACAACACATATATCCCATCAACAACTTCATACGTTCTCTTCCCTCTCATGCCTCTCTCCCTGGTATTGCTTTTGAGCCTGCACTCATTCCCCTCCACTCCACACAGAAAAACCCTCAGAGTGTGTATAAAGCACATCAGACATAAATCTGTCACAGCATGACAAGTAATAGCTCCAAATGGCTGTCAGCATGCTGAGATGTGAGGAGCAAACTATGAGGAGAGATCAAGAGGAGAAAACCTCTCTCTCTCTTCCTCTCTCTCGTTCTGTTCGGCCAGGAGCCTGACCTCACATCAAAGTCCTCCCTGGACATGAATCAACACTGGAGATCAGGTTCTGACAAGGATAAAGAAAGAGGAACCTGCACAATGTAGAAAATCAATGCAAAAACCCAGGGACCAAGACACAGCACATCTGTGTCCAGTTATTCCCAGGAGGAGTTCTAGCTGTAAGTGATCACATGGTGATATTAGAAGGAGAAAGATAACAGCAATAGAAAGAGCTAACATGGACACGTGTTTGCTGATTGGGGTTGTCTATCATGTCAGAAGATCTAGATAATTAAGGCAAACTAAACATCAAAGGATACACACAGAAAATTACTAATTCATTTCAAGAATGCATCACATGTTTAAAACTACATTTCACAGGCCCCTGAGGGATAATGTAGCACATTGACATAAGGTGTGTGTAAGAGAGTGTGAGACCTGAGTGTGTGAGCACGTTATGACTTCCTGCAGCAGGCCTTTGAAATGAGCAACACCTCATTCTGCAGTTCTGGCTCACAAATAAGTTGTGCCTGAGTGAATGTGGGACACAACAAACACATAAAGACATGTGGAATACTGGTGTCAAAGCCCACATTTACTCTGCTACCCTGCTCTTGATAATATTACTGTCCCCTTATAATTATTTTTGATATGGATGCAGCACTTGGAGTCCCCAAGGGGTAAATAAGGTGTATCATATTTTATGCTATCATCACTTTCCAAAGGTTGGAAGATCAATTTCTTAGCTTTCCCTAGTTAAAAGAGATTTTTCGTACTTTTTGCTGAAGGATAAGTATCTCTACGGTGACTGGGGGTGGATAGATGGACTGACTAAGGTTGTGAACATTTCAAGGACCCTGTGATTCAAAATGATACAATCTCAGTCATTTTAATGATCGACAGTCGTAAAAACACTGAAACTTTATAAAAACCACATACCTCCAGTCGTATTCTTAACCAAAAGCTGCCGCAAGCGAAAGAGGGAGTGCTGTTCAAATGTTTTGAAACATTGCCAACATATCTCTATAGAGAGTGTGCAGGAGCTTGCCTGCTACTTTTTGGAATTAAAAACAAGAAATGACCCAATATTATGTGCCAAACACTTCTATACGTGTGCCCTGGTTACAAAACAGGTAATGATATAATTTTGTTTATACCCAAGTTTAAAATTCTGGTGTCTTGACAACCCTTTTCTGTCACTTGCAAAAACCCCAGAGAAACAGTGAAAGATAATTTTCTATTATGGAGAAAGTTCATTTATAACCTCATTCCATTATTTTATTATTTTTATCAAATGAGAAGCTCCAACATTGATGCATTGGTTTTCCAGCAAAATTTAAAGACCTGCAGCAGCTATTTGTTTTGGGCTTTAGGAGTTTACATTTGATCAACACATCAAGCACTTACATTAAGTGAGACATCACATTTCAATTAGTTTTATGTTCTGGGAGTGAAAGGGGGTGGGGGGTGGGTGCAGAATTTCTAGACACCACACTCTCCCTCACTCCCAGCCAGGTCCTGACTGGGGGGTCTCACAGCTGTAACACTGCAGCTATTTCTGGGCTCTGGAATTGGGGGAGGGACGCAAAAAAAAAGAGGGAGAAAAGAGAATGAGGGAGGAGGGAGTGATGGAGGTAGGGAAGGGAGGAGGGGAAGAATCCGACCGTCCCTTTAGCTGCAGCTGGTTGTTGCAGTCCAGACAGGTTTTATGGTCATTGCCCTCGCACAGGCCACAACCCCCAACACCAAGGTTTCAGCTAATGGCACTCCCAGTCTGAGTGAAAGGGCAACTTGATTCTTGGTCCTTTTCCACACACACAGAAGGAGTCATAAACAGGCATTTGGCCATTGAGCATTGATGGGTCTGTCTGCTTTGTGCATGTGTTTCTTTCCATTAGTGTTGGATCAATTAATCAATTAGCCGGTCAACAGATGATGAGCCATCATCAAACACATTATTTCCTTAAATCCTAAATGTGAGCTTGTTTTTCCTCCTTACAATGTTCAAAACCTTTCCATAGAGTTTGTAGGACAAAAATACTCAACCCAATCACATTTTTAAAAACATTTGAATATTGATCAATAAATCAGAAAAAACGACATTCATACTGAAAATAAGAAAGAATTTCATGTCAAGTCTTGTCTTCATGGCTTCATGGCTTTGAGTTACCACTAGATGGCAGACTTGAATTTGAAAACTGAGCTGGCCAGTTGACAACAGTGAGTCTCAGTTGACTTCATGCTCCATAGAAACCAAACCAGACAGGAAATATACCCAGTCTAGAGCGTGCATATTTCACACTTTTATTTTACGCAAACCACAGGGTCGACATAAAGCTGTAAAAGTAAAATATTATTAGACCAATTGGCTGTGGGATGTTCTAATACTAGCTTATTAAATGCATCAAGACAAAATCCAATTCTGCGTTCAGTCGAAGCAGAGGAGCACAAAAGGACTCCTGTTTCGTTGCATAATAAAAGGTAAAGAACGGCCCCTAAGTCCTCATTAACTGGCACACACGCAAAGGCGACAAGCCTCGGAAATTGTGCGTCCACCACACGTCCTCACCTGCTCTGAATGGAGTGGCGGACTGAGCCTGGGTTTCCTGAGAACACACATTCCTATTTGGGGAGGTGAGAGAGACGTCTGAGAGGTGTGTGGGCTGCGGGCTGCTCATTGCCTGGCATGGCAGCATCGACAGCATGCTGAAACAGTCCAGATGGAAGTGATGGAATGGCACCGTGTGCCAGCAAAGCCCAGCCTCCGCCAACAGCACTAAAACAGTTTCCGTTGTGACACAACTAATCCCCATCATGGTTCCAGAGAGAGAACCGAGCCCAGTCTGCCTCTTACCATCAGCCGTCCACCTCCAGGAGGCGGGCCAGATGCTGCCAGTAAGGGATGTGAACATACAGTTTCTCTGAGGGCCCTAAAATATTTCACTTTAGGTGGTCTGGGCCCAGCAGAACTACTCAGACTACTCTATTGCTATTAATTATACTACTCATCACTTCTACAAACTTTTGCTTTGGTTGGTTGGGGTTAATCCTGGCTTTCCCATGCATGAAGAAAACTCACAAACACAGAGACAGAATAATGTTTCACCTCTAAAAGAAAAGGGTTCCCTTAGCATACCTTGCTCAGGATGTAGATGGCATCTCCACGTTTGAAGGACAACTCATCCGGTTGGTCTGCTACACAGTCCCATAAACCCTGGTAGTGGTTTTGGTAGTCAGTGCTCTTATCAACTGAAGGGACAGAAGGGTAAAGAAGATGATAACAGATGAGGTGTTAAGAGTAATCTCATTAATCCCACAGGTCTGACAGTGCAGCAACACCAACAGGAGGCAGTGCAGAGCCTGAAATAGAACTAGAGGCAGACAGAAGCTGGGGGTTCATTCTACCTATTAATGCTAGAAAGGTTCTTCTTTTCACATTGAGAAAGTGATGTACTCTATACTTCACAATTTAACACACAAAAGAGATAGAGGAGCAGTTCACTTATAGATGGAGATGAAACAGCACAGAGTATTGCTATCTTCTAGCGGTATCTCGATGCATCTTCAGAGTCATATTACCATCAATCTTTGATGAGATTGTGGAAAATGTGTCTGCAATGATAGTATGATCTATCGTTCAAGTTTTATCCTTTGACGTAAAAGCATTCAGCTTCTTCAAACTGAATCTCTCTGCTGGTCAGAAAATAAACCTGACTTGAGGACAGTTCTTGAACACTTCCAACGTTTTGTCTGACACTATATTCACTTTGAGTTTAGAATAGTAATCTGAAAAATCAGTGGATAAATGCAAATAATATTATACATTGAAATGTTGCAGCTTTTATTTATTGCATCATTTTGTTAGTATAAATAATCAATAGGGTGTTTTTTGTTTTATAAACTGGCAAAAAATCAGTAAACTTTGGGGCACTGGTGGAACAGTGGTTAAAGCGCGTGCCCCATGTATGGAGGCTGTAGTCCTCCAAGCGGGCGGCCCAGGTTCAAATCCGACCTGTTGCTCCTTTCCCGCATGTCATTCCCTACTCTCTCTCTCCCTGATTTCCGACTCTATCCACTGTACTATCTATCTCCAATAAATGCACAAAATGCCAAAAAAAAAATTAGAACTAAAAAAAATCAGTAAACTTCAATGTTAATAAAAAAATATTCTTCATACAGTTACGGTAAAACTTCTAGAAATAGCCCAGGCTTTTATTTACTTCAGTCTATGATATGAGCCTGCCTTTATTTGGGACAGGCGTTAATACGAGATGGTATTGCACAGCAAAGATGGGGAGGACTATGAAATAGCAAATTTACACCAGATAGAACAATAAAGCGCCTACAACATGAGGATATCAATAAACAAATTCAATAATTACTCTTTTGATTTTACTTGGCAAAACAAACAGCATGCCAGCCTGCTTCATGGTGTGTGCACATATGCACATTATTCTGTCTTTCTTGTACAGATGGTGTACAAGAACTAGGCTAGTAAAAAGGGACAGGACATATAATTGGGATGGGCTTTTATTTGAAGTTTTACGGTAAGTAGGAATGAGGACACAAATAGTTTCTTGGTGGTTAATGTTTATATATCTCTTATTGATCTGAAGTAGGAACATTTCCTGTTTGTGGTTTCCCTCAGAGCTTTTTGATGTTAGTGGGGTTTTTGTCACAGAGACAGTAGATGAGGACAGACAGCACGGTGTTTTTGTACTTACAAAACTTTCATACATCATTTATCGTAAAAGGAAGTTGCCAAAATCAGCTGAAAGTTATTTCCAGCATTGTGTCAACTTTCAGTTACACGTGTTCACATAAACTTCCTCTGTTTGTGACACTTCTTCTTTGCTATGGCTAGAACTTTGAGTTTGCACAAAGTGATAAGAACACATATGTTTGACAGAGAGGACATCAGTTGATCACAGCCCCATCCAATTTATATGAAGTGACATTTATATTACTTTGTAGCAGAAATTGAGTCAAGCACTCAAACCTATGCAGTGTTGAAACCAGACACACATTTCTGTGCTGTGTACCTGCAACAGGTGGAGCAGGTTTGCTCGCCAAATCCAACTTTGGAGGCGGCTTCGCTGGAGTGGGTATTTCATCCTCTGGAACAAACACAGAAGCATATTGAAGTGTGCTGTTAGTTAGAGCGTATGTATCTGTATCTAATAACAGAATGAGGAAGTGAGCAATGGCAGAAAAGAAAATCCTCATAACAGATGCATGTCATTTAATGCATGCTCTGTAGAATAACAGATTTCCACAGGGAGAAACTGTGCGTTCTGACCTGGAAGCTCCTCATAGATGTCTTCATCTATTGCCTCAGGCTGCTCTTCCTCCTCCGTATTACCCACATCATCGTATAGTCCCTGTTCCTCCTCTTCATCTTCTGGGATGATGCCTGACATATCTACAAACAGAGACACATTTTTTACTCTTGTATTAACAGAGCCAACATTTAGAGACATTTGTTTATTTCATGCCTTACTTGTATTTTTTTTTTTAAAAAGCTGTTACATTAGGGGGCTTAATAGAATGTTTGTAAGATTGAAACAGTTCAAACCTTTTATAACAAAGTCAATCTGTTTCACCCATTTCGCCGCCTCTTTCACTGATGACGCACAAAACTGTGAAATGAAAGAGGAGAGAAATGAAAACTGCAGTCAGTGCAGCATGCAGCCCTTCATGTATTAATTAACATAAACAAATAAAACTGCATTTATGCATATTAAAATGTTCCGCATGGAGGGGCCTGGATGTTAGAGACCCTCATTTAGACATTTTAAATTATGCGCGTCAGGTTGAGCCATTGCAGAGCAAGCAGTGTCAAATGAATGAAGGGGTTTTAAAAGATTGAATGAAGTCAAAGTACAAACATGCCTTTACAATTTTAAACACGCCACACCTCAAGTCCACATTTGTTTTTTTTTCAATTTACGTACATTAAGAACAGTAATGACTCTAACCAGCATCAAGAGCTCACCTGATAGACTCGCTTGTCTGGAGCTGAAATTTCAAAGCAACAGTCTTTCTTGGAGTCTTTCCGTAAGCTGCTGTTCATTTTGACAGAGTAGCCATCGATACTGAACTCCCCCTTCTGCTGCTTGTCTATTACACACAATTATAACATTTAACATCATCATAAGTGTTCAGATAACTGCAACGACACTGACAAAACCTGGCAGACAAAAGCAGAATGTACTGTATATCCATTAAACTAGAAAAATTGTGTCAATGAGGTAAAAAACTGAAGTACCTTTCTCACTGCCGTAGTAGTAGAAGGTCTGATGGCTTAGAGCACACCATCTCTTCTGCCACTCTGTGCCAAAAAAGCTGTGATCTGCAGGGAGAGAGGATGAACAGTCTTTGAATAGATACTACATTTTTGGTTTCATTTTGAAATTAATAAAAGCCAAATATTTCAGAAATGTGCATCGTCTATATGGGTTCACCTTGTCTGTCAGTACATCATGTGACAAATGTTTAGCTAATGTTTATAGGGTGTTGTAATTGTATGTGGAATTTCACATTCACTATATGTAGAGATTTTTTCTTTTGTGCTTTTTGTGCTTTATTTTGAAAGCAAATACAGGCACAAATTGTCAAAAATTCAAATAACATTCAAGTTTAAGGGACATGTAAAAAAAAATATAAGAAATTGTTTGGTATGTAATTATTATTGTCACATTGATTGTTGTTTAAACAGATGTTTTGTTCGTGTAGATCTTTTGCCTGAAGGCATTGAACAGAAAATGTAATAAATGATTCTGAGCTCGCAAAAATAAGCAACATTCCTTTTTGAAAAACCTGAGTTATGAGTAGAGAACGCACCCTTTCTGCGCTTCTCCAGGTATCCCGCTTTAAAGACAGACGGCAGGTCCTGGGCTGCCACAGGTGGAGACTGCTGAGCTCCTGGAAAAGAGTTCAGGGATCCAACAGAGGGGGATCAGTGTTCTCACTGAACACATAAGTGTTATTTTATCATTTAAAAGTAAAGATTAAGTCTGGTTTTGCACTCTTTAAACATAAAAAAAAAAAAAATGGTTTCTGATGTACCGTATTATGTTTGTATTCATCAGATGTTAAAACAAGTAACCTGGAGGCTCCACTAAGCTATGCAACGCCTCTGACTGGAAGGATTCCTGTTGCAGTGTGCAACTTCAATGCAAATGTTCAACTGCTGTGTCAAAGTTGCTTTGTGTGAAAGAGAAGCCATAAAGCTGGCAGCTGCTTACAGCCCATAAACCCCAGACAGAGCCCTAAACACCATTTCACAAGTATTTCACTGATGCTCTGTTTATAAAAGTACATAGAAAACCCTGCATGGCTAGCAACCATTGAGAGCACAAGGTTTAAACTACTGTACATTGAGGAATGTTATTTTTGCCTCAAACTACAGCCATGGCAGTAATTTTAAGTCCCCTGACTGTGGCTGAGGGTAATAAAGCATGCTCGGGCTGTCAAAGGGGTGGGGTGACAGAGGCGGTGGGGGTAGCAGTTGTGCCCCCAAATTGCTCCTCAAGTATGTTGCCAAGTTACAGTGGGAATGTCTCCCTCATTGTGCCACTCAAAGTCACTTTCTCCACAGAGCAGACCCAAAGATTTGTATATCTTCCTACTTCCTAAGACGCAATTTTCAACACTTTAATCTGCAGCAGTTAGTAGTTAGCGAGTCAACTTTGGACATCTGCTAAGTGGTTTACCTTCACAGGCCTCGTCATCTTTGTCTGTGCGCTCTGACTGCAGTGACCCGCCATCGTTGTTGCTGTCAACCTCCTCCTCATCGTCAGAGTCATCTCCACCTGCAGGAGTAAACAGTGCTGTGGAGTGAAGGTGCATGTTATGGTGTAACACAATGATTCGCAACCCATTATGCTCATTCGAAGAGGCTTAAACGCCCAGGGAGATAAAACTTTACAGTACAACAACAAATAAGAGGTTCAAAATGAAGAGGAATCACCAGTATAAAAAAAATAATCACAGGAAGCCATTGCACACCGTCCCTTGATCAATAAAATAAACAAAAATTAAATTATTAAAGAAAAAAAAAACACTGTTTCCATTCATTTTATGATGGTATTATTATATGGATACACTTGACTAAAGTAATACATCTCAAGGGTTTAGTAGATTTGGCTGATCTTGTGACCTCTTGTGTGGGCCAAAACAAGCGGTTAGAAACCCAGCAGTGTATGTACGGAGGAAACATACATAGACTTATGTATTATGAAGACAACACTCACTCTTGTCCTTGAAATCTTGTGGAAAACTGTTGGGGAGACAGTAACCAAACATCTCTGCATCAGAATCGACGGACAGTCACATTGTCAATATTTAAAACCAAACTCGAATACAGGATGATTATATTGTACAATGCAAACAGTCATACCCCAACTTGACCTCCTTAATCCGTTTGATGAAGGTCTCCCTCTTCTCTTTTGCCTTCTTGCTGAGGTTCTCCCCTTTTAATCCATCAGATAGGAACTGTTCAAGATCTAAACAGGAGAAGAAAAAAAAACATTCACACTAGAGGTAGCCAAACACCTCCATGCTGCTTGAGATCTTTTTTTATTGAGTTTCAAAGCAATACAAGAGAGAGAAAGTTTGCATGAGTTGATGTCAAAGTGCTCATTGTTAGCTCTAGTCATCAGCAGCCCTGCAGTGTGAGGCATCCATATTAAGTGCTCGCTTCCTCTTTTTTAACAAAAGTCTCTTTTTCTGCAACGAGCCACAAATGAACAAAGAAGCCAACAAACATGTACAGATCAACTGAATGTATGGATGTTTTCACCTGAAATGAGCGTCGTGAGCTCCTCGGGAATGGGTCGCATTGTTTGGAGTATGTTTTCAGTCAGGCAGGCGGCGGTGGACGGTCCGGCTGAAGAGCAGGGAAACTACCTTGACACGGAAGCAGCAGACACGGAAGTTCACGTGCTAATTATTCACCACTGACCACACTGTTGCTCGACACCCACTCTCATGTTTATTGCTCCATCCGTCTGTGTTGTATGTGCTGCTGCTGATGATGATGATGATGACGGGGATCTAAAGGTTTAATGGCGCTTTACAGACTAATAAAGTCGATCATGTTGTTGATTGATTCTGGCTAATATTTCTACGGCGCTGTAACTGACTCACTGGACACATTGGGAGGGTCTTTTCTGACAATGATGCAGACACATTGAGTTTATGAATATGTCAACGCTGTAAATCTAAACAGGGTCATTAATCATCAAGGGGGCAGTTATATCAAACTGCGTGCCAAGATTATTTCAACAACAGAGTCTGTGCTTCTTGTGCACTTGTTTCTTCCTTTATATGCGAATTTCTGGGACTAATTTAGGCATTTGTTTGTCAGACAAGCACTTCTTGCAGCCAGTGCATGAAAGCGTTTAAAAGCCGTGCTTAAGGTGTGCCTCCTGGTGTAAGATGAAGTGAATGCAGACCCCATGTCATATTGTTGTTAAAGGTGTCATTCATTCATTTATCATCTTTTGACAGCCAGTATAAACCAATCCTGGTTAAAAGGCTAAGCCTTTGAACTGTATACCTTGTTATCATTGAGGAATGACTCAGAAATGTCAGTGCTTCACGTATAGCTGCAGGTGCTGTAAGGTGATGGTAAGGAGAACACTTCATCCTTTCTGTCCAGGAGTTTTGAAAAGACATGGGCTTCATCCATCAACATTTTGTTTTGGGCTCTCTTAGGAGTTTTAATTTGGTCATAACACAGACTAAAGTTAATAGGGATGCTTTTTATGACCTATAAACCAAACATGATCATCAGCATAAAGGATGAGTATTTCTAAATGCTTATTCTTTTGCCTGAAATTGCTGCCAGGGATAGGTTTCAGATTAGGGGGATTAACAAAAAGCAGATTATTTTTTTGTGTTTTCCATTGCAAAGATTCACAGTGAGTGATATGTTAAAATGGTAAAAGAAATCATGACAAGATGTTTATCATTAAAACCTTACTTTAACATGTATAGGTAGGATAAGCAAATATATAATACATGTTAGTTTGTCCATGGGGGGCGCCATACAAACAGAAAGTTCCTCACTGGAGCTTTTTTTAAGGTTTATTGTTGTACTTTTTACAGACAGGACAGTGGATAGAGTCAGAAATTGAGAGGGGGGGGGGGTGACAGGAAAGTAGTCCCAGTTCGGATTTGAACCTGCGCCGCCCGCTTGGAGGACTGCAGCCTCCGTACATGGTCCCTCAGCTTTAAGCAGAGGTGAGACTTGTGTTCATTTTTTAATATTATATATTTTTCTACAAATTTGCTTTCCAACTCAGCTTAAACTTTAAAATGGTATAGATTGCTATTCATAACTATTCCAAGAAATCACATTTTTTGTGTGTCTTCATGTGATAAACAACCACATTCTTAACTTCACGAAGCAAATCAAAACCTAAGATCTGATTTTCCTTTTTCATGATTGTTCCTGCACAATGTTTCTGATGTCACTTCCTGTTCAGAGATAGTTGAGTAGCAGCCAATAAATTCCTCAGACTCCTCTGTGGTCATTCAAAACCTGACCCCCTTCTGACCTAACAGCAGTTCCTCCCAGTTTGGAGAGGAGAGGAGAGCAAGCTTGACCTTTGATCCCTCTGTGTGTGAGTGAGAGAGAGAGGGGGGGGGTAGGGTGTGTGTGTCTGCTGGCACCCTGTTGTATCTAGTTTCCCACAAAGCTTCATCTACTTGTCTGTCAGCACACAAACTCCTCCCTGTGATTGTTCCTTCCTCTTTTTTTTTTTAGCACTGATTACATGTTTGTAATCCATCCACTGCCTGTCAGCAAACACTTTCATATAACCACATATAGTTTAACAACGTTATCAGACACATCGGATTTTAACACTTTTGTATTTAAATATGCATATTGCATGTGTGAAAAAGTATATTTATCTGCTCATTACTAGCAGAGTTTGCTCAGTAATAGGTGGCCTTACCTTTTGGCATGCTGACACAGTGGAGTCTTCACATTGAAAAAGAGCTCAGTGGCCTCAGCACCAAATCAAACCTGGCGGCCTCTCTGCCCTCCTGGGCTTTACATTATTTTCAGACTTCATCATGTTTTCAGAATGATCACCACTAAGCCTATACACCTCATACCATATCTTATTCGTGAAAGCTGTTCACCACCTCAACTCAGCGTTTTCATTGTTGTTGTCAGGTTCGTAAGAGCTGCAGGATGAGAGCAGACCATAGAAAAGAATCAGGTTGCCTTTAGTCTGGGGATGACACATCAGTTTGATCGTTAATCTTAAAACAAAATCGGATTTAAGGCTTTTCAAGGATCATTTCTCACAGACATTTAGTGGCAGTGTTTGGAACAGAATCATAAAGCATGAGTATGACTTCTTTATGCCGCGGTTCAACTGGTAGCTGTGAACATATAACGGGATTTGGGCACGTGGACGAAATCCACATGGCCCAGAATGAAATGAAATGACCTCCTTTAGAATAATAACTATAGCCTACGAAAATAAATGTTTAAAAAAATCATTTAGCTATTTGACTGATGGGCCAGGCAAAACTTTTTGCCTCCTAGTTTATATTTCAAAACCAATTAAATTATTATTTACACCCATGTAAAAAAAAGAAAGTATTCATCTGCTACTTCAAATTAACCTTAAATATTTTCGAACATAAAAGGTTTTGAAAACCAAAATGGTTCTTAATTCCAAAAGATTGTATTGCATTACGGATCAGTCTATTAACAGGCCCCCTCAGTGCTGTGAGTTTTATAGGCAATAAAATGTAATTAGAGAGCCAAGAAAAGGCAGCGCTTTTAGCCTGAGACTCTTAGCAGGCAATCCTCCCTGCAAATGCTCTTTTTCAAAAAGCAGGCAATACATTTCTTCATTAGGTCAAATAAATCCTGAGGGTTTATAACAGAACAATTGTCACGTAGAAAACACATATTTCAATCGAACCAAAATGGGAAAAAAGAAACGCGTACCTCAGTGACGCATTAATGTACTATTTTAACATTGATATCACTTATTTTATTATTTTTGTAGCTCTGAGATTTATCCCTCTAGCTGGAGAATTGTTTTGGAGAAGTTCGAGATGAAAAAAATCAATACACGAACATTAACTTCTTTAACTATTGTTTAGAAAACATCATGTGTTTGCATTAAATCTGTTGTATATTCACTGTTTTGTAAGAGTCTAAGAAACGGGTTTGATTATGAATTATGCACGACCATAATTGATTTATCTCATTGCAAATTGTCTGACATTTTTTTAAATTATCATTTCATGTATAGACCTTACATTTATTAGCTCTCAAAATTGTATGTGAAATAAGACAAAATGGCTCTGCTGATCACAGTCATAATAAAGTTTTATTTGAAGAAAAATACTCTGCTCAGCCATACTGAAAACTCATGGGCTATAAAAAAAAAAAAAAAGAAGTGTGTAAACTACCTTAAAAGGCTTGATTGATTTTTTTTTTTTTAAACTAACCTTATTTGTAAGGCACATGTACTCCCCCATCAACTGGAATATAACAAACCGCACACAGGAGTTTAAAATCAAATAAACCGTGGTTTAAAAGCTTAAGTTCTGCAGGTCGATTGTTGTGAGAGTCTCAGAGAAAAGGTCAAACGTTTCGGACGATAAGGGCAAAGGACTGTGCGTACAATCTGACAAACTGGGTGAGAAAGAAGAGAAGGATGAGAAAACGTGGAAATCCTGTGAACAGACGTCCAGGCACGGGGAATCCTCATCATTGTCTCGGCCTATTGTCGACACACAGATTGGAACAGTAGGAGCCGCGTTGGGGAAATGTTTCAGATTTTTGTCATTGCTGTTCAAAGGCGTAACAGGCGGGCTCTGGTGCTCTCCATTGAGCGCGCTTTGACACTGTTGTGAAGTCAAAGCATTCTGCTGGAAATACCTCTCGTCCTTTGCACCACCCTCCTCGAAAAACTCATCCTCCGGCGTGTCTTCGTCGTCGTCGTCGTCGTCGTCGTCCAGGCCCGCGTATGTGCCCTCACAGTCCCGGTTCTCCTTACTATGCGTCTGCCTCTTGTGCTTCATCCTCCGGTTCTGAAACCAAACTTTCACCTGCTTCTCGCTTAAATCCAGCAAAGCGGCTATTTCCACGCGCCTCGGTCTGCACAGGTATTTGTTAAAGTGGAACTCCTTCTCCAGCTCCAGGAGTTGGGTGTTGGTGTACGCTGTCCTCAGTCTCCGGGATGCCCCTCCGCCGCCTGCAGCACCCTCTAGAGCCTCTGGTGAACCTACAAACATAAACCAAATGTAGACTTTAATCATATCATTTGAAAAATCAAACATTTTCTCCATACTGGTGTGTTTATATGTGGTGAAACTTGTGGCAAGTAAGCGAGCGCAGGAACTGGGGAAGATTTATGGGCCCCGGCAGGATATGATGGGTCTTCGTGGACAGGACAGCACGGAGGGTGAAGATTAACGCACGTGCCAACTGCTGGCCCGTGTAAGAATCATCTATCACTCTCCATTACTGTCAAACATTTACACTCTTACACTGCATCACAAGTCAGTGCGTTAGTTGATGAGATTAAGCATACTTAAATCAAAAATCCTGTCCTGGCTTAAGGGGACGCCCACGCTGTACAAGGCCCGTGGATGCAGCTCCTTTTTTTTTTTTGCAGACAATGAGGAGCCTTCTAACATGGAGGTTATTAATCATCATGTCTTGCCTTGGGGGGAGAAGTAAGGAGGCGAGGAGTCAGTCGCTGTCGCAGAAATCTGGTTCCTCTTGATGCTTTTCTTCTCCTTCATCCACGGGTAATGCGGGGGTAGAGATGCAGCCTGCACCGGGCTGCAGACTTTCACAGCCGCTTGCTGCTTCGGGCGACTGTGGCGTGGGTGGACGCCCTGGTTCAGGCCGGGGATGCTCTGCTCAAAAGGAGGAGGAATCAATGTCGAATGTGAAAGCGCCGAGCTCTTGATTGATGAACTTTGAAATGCATCACCGACAGGGTTAGTAAGAGATGTCAGGCACTCAGCGAGCGACGGCTGGCTGTTGATGAAACCACTTTCTCTCCCAAATCCGTAATTCATCTCCTCTCGGGTATCTGGAAAACTCGAACTTAAATTAAAATTAATTAAGAGTTTATTTCCATAAACTACTAATCTGGGTATAGTCGTATATGAGACCTGTATGCCATAAACTACTGCTTTCATGTGGACATTGTTGGAATTAGACCGTGCTGCTTGTCACATGATTGCATCTGCCCAATGACAATTTGGGCTTTTTATCAAAAGGAGCCACTGTCCCCTGTGATTGATCGAGGAAGTCAGAGGGGTAACGCCTCATTCCGGGGGTAGGGGCTGCTTTATTTACACATTTTTGGGGGTCAGTTTGTTCACTACTGCCCCCTTCCCTTCGGAAAATGCATCCAAAGGCCATCATGTCTTCCCTTTGCGCCTCCACGCAGGCGCAGACTACCTTACCTCGCGGTTTTACGCACGAGTGTGAGTGTTGTGCTTGTGCGCGCTTGTGTGGATGCATGTTCTATGAGCGTTTATTACCGGGGTGGCACCCGACAAATCATTCCAGCAGTCACATTTGCGTCTCGTAACGACGCCCACAGTCGTTATCAGTGCCAAGGCGTTAATCTTGAGACTTTTTGGAAGATTTGCTTGGAGAGGAAGGCTCCACCAGACAGCAAGCAATATGTCCACCCCTCCCCCAATATACACACAAATTCTCACCACACATGACAGAGGGAGGGGTCGGGGTCTTTTTTTCAATGTTATTTTTAAGCATATTTTGGTTTAGTTTTAGCCCCTTTATCTTCAAAGTATTATTTATTAAAGTTTACTTTATAGTCTACGGGAAATCGATATGTAAGAAACAATGTAAGAAAGTTATTCAAAGGGTATTGGACACCGTTTTACAGTGTACAGCTCCCTGCCTCACATCCCATTTCATTTAGTTTATTTCACCTGCAGGGAATGCAATGTTGAGCTAAGTCATCATCCATACACTTCAGCATTATTGGCTCTAACATGGCGGAAAGGGGGAATGATTTGCCACTGTAGTGTGGAGCAATGGAAAGGTGGGGATCTGATGGCTGTTTATTGCTCCGGCTCTAAACAAAGAGCCCTGGTAGCCTGCGCATGATCAATCTTTCTCGCCAAAAGGTTTGACAGCTCGCTGCCCTAAGAACACACTTAAACCATCTAACTCTCCCTTAGATCATACACGACCAGGAGGAGGACGGTCACTCTCTGGGTAAGCTAGAGGAGACGTTTTGATATAGAAACTCTTTTTGTTTTTCTTAATAGGAGCAAGGAGGAGACGTACTGCCATTATACGCACAAAGGTTTTTTTTTTTTTCTACATTCGCATATAGTCTACATCCAAATGTAAAACTGTGACGCTTATTCGTTTGGAAAAAAGGACTTAATTTAAAACAGAGGACAAGAAATGACTTTGTAAAGGTTTAGAAACGAATGGAGCAGCTTTAACGCACAATCAATTGTTTCCAGAGGTGAGTGGGTGTCCGCATTCAGCAGAAATCCCATTCAGCCTCATACATTTCTTTCAGAAACCCTGAGAACGAGAGCTTGTCGACTGGGATTTTGAAATTATGCTGTTTTACCACCAATGTTTAAAACATTTTATTTGACTGCTTAGAACTGTGTATTTGGACTATTTGGTGATCGTAAGTAAGCTCTTTAACACACCAAATGTTTGTCCTTTTGAGGCCTGTATAAAATCATACTGATAATGTAAATGTAACTATCTGATTATTAATTGGTAAGGTATTATATTAAATTCAAATCCATCTAATTCTATCCGTGCTTGGTTAATTGCCAAGCAAAACATTTTAATTATTGGTGCAAATATCTAAACTAACCAGTTTATTTTAAGTATTATTATTATTATTTCTCTTTTTAAATTTACAAAAAAAGTTATGGGTTATAATTATATTAAAGTGGCCAGAGTGCGTTTTTAAATTGACTCAGCTTTGGAAATTCACCAAAGATAGAGAAAACAAAGAACAGAACAGAAATATAGATGAATAGAACCTGGTCCCTGCTCAGTCATATTTGCACACGACTTATTTTCTTTCTTTCTTTTTTACATCTACTAAATACTGATTTATGTCTGCTGTTCCTGTCCGGCGCTGTACAGATATAAAAGTCACATTTTGCTGCTTGTTTTTGATCGCAGACAGAGCGGCACGTATCCCGTCTGTTCTCAGACAACAAGGAACATCTGGGAAGCAAGTGGGCCAAACTGAGACCACTGACGGGAAGTTTCAATGACAAAGGACAATCAGTTTCTATGTTATCCCTATCCGTGACGTGTTTTTTTTTTGTTTTTTTATTAAGCTACTGTGATTGTGATAAAGTGAAGTGAAGTGTGAAGTTTTAAATCAGAATTACAAAATAAACAGCTGAACCAAATTGATTTTTTTGTTTTTGTACAAGATTGTGAAGTGATTCCAAGTGCACGTTACTTGCAGATGTATTGCACAACAGCTGTTCAATGTTATTCTCAACCGTATTGTTGAAAGAATTTGAAGTGTGGTTATTGGATGATTTCTTTTCCACGTGTGTGTGTGTGTGTGTGTGTGTGTGTGGTGTAGTGATCCCGTAAGGATTTTCATTTCATTTTGCTCGTTTCAGTTTTATTTATTGGGCCGCGTGGAATCACGTGAAGATTTGACAGATATTACTACAGGCTCACTACAGAGCCACAAATCAAATTGTTCGGTGCTGCGACATGTGCAGAAATCTACTGATAACTGATAAATAAATAAAAAAAAGAAATCGCTGACATGCTCATATGGGACATATTGTCTTGACTCCTAGAAAATCAAAGACGACGTGACAATAAAAAAAAAATGTGTGATCACAAAAAGAAACACAAATCAAACTTCCACATCATTCTCCTCTCCGTGTCCGTGAGATGAGCCTGCATCCTTGAGTGCTCTTTTATTAGCCATAAGTGAGAAAAATACTGTATATACATACAGAAACACGTGTAAGGAAAGATTGGCAGCCAGAAGCATGCTTTCCAATCGATGTGAGGTTGACCAAAAAACCCTTAATATAAAAATGAATTTTGGATTGAAAGTGGCCACAGAAAGAAACCAGCCCATTAAAGTGCCTTTCTACGAGAGGTTAGATATGGGTCATTTTTAAGGAATCGTCTAAATAAATGTTGTGACCTTGTTATTAATAAAGAAAAGTATTATGAAGTAGTATCAAAATCCAACTTCTGATCTGAAGTCATCCAAAACATTGCACGAGTCTCAACAGCGAGGAACAGTGGATGAAGCTGACTATCCTGTGCTCCCCTGAACGTCTCCTCCAGAGTTCACTCAGGGCCTCCTCTGTCACCAGCGGTGTCATGAGGTTTGATGTATGAGGGTTATGAGAGGTCACTGAAGGCAACTTTCTGTTTTCCTGCACCAATAGCTGCTTTTATATAAGATCATCATGAACATAAACCATGAGCCATTTTTCAACGATGCATTTACTATGACTTCATTGTATCTTTTTTCTTTCTTTCTTTTACGAAATTAAGAATAGATTCATTTTGATAGCTTTACAGTTTCTCCAAAAAGGAATGAGACTTAATGAGCTGCATGTGGGTGACCTTTGTGGGGTAAAGAAGGGGAAAAGGGTGAGGCAGATGTGGAGGTGGAGGGAGGTAGTGGGAGATGTTAAAGGGGAAAAAAAAAAAAAAAACAGGGAGGAGGGAAAGTTTAAAAGACACTCTCACTTTTTGAACCGTTCAAAAAAAGTTCATGGCCGAGTTGGGGTCCAGTAAGGTTTAGTCCAGCCCCTGGAGGAGGAGTGATTATAGTCCTTTGAGGTGTGTTGTGGGTTTGTGTGCGTGTCTTTATAGCTTTTGTATCGATGTCATGACATCTTAGTCAGGGGGTTTGGAAATATTCCATGTCTGCAAAATGCGCCAACATTTGGTTGACTCCGTGGATAACATTTTCTTCATCAATAAAATGTCAGATATTTGAGTTTCTAAAAGAGTATGCATCCACCTGGGGTTATCATAAAATGCACACATTCCTCTGAATTACACAAAAGCACAAGGTGGAGTCCTCTGATAAACGTTTTTGTGCTTTCCTCAGAAGCAGCAGTAAATTTTAAAGGGACTCCTGGCCAGACTTTAATGAAATAAGAATCTTTCAGGAGTAATTTATGCCACAGATGACGATACAGTGAAACAGAAAAAGGCACGCGGCGGGAAGAAATGATGTACGACGAAGGCGACACAAAAGGTGCAGGTCTGTGTTAAATTGGGAGCGGTTCTTGGCTTACCCTGAACGCACCATACAGTTTGTGCCCTGAAATGAGCAGCTGCCTCCACCTGCTGGCGATAAGGGCGCAGCAGCACTCTGCTCAGACACCGTCAACAGTAACACTATGTTCTTTTGTTTGTTTTTGGTTGTTGATGTTATTTGAGACTTAAAGTATCTTTATTGTCTAATGGTGTGTGATTTTTTTTGGGCAGTTTAGACTCCTTCTGTGTGTGTGTGTGTGTGTGTGTGTGCGTGTGTGTGTGTGTGCGTGTGTGTGTGTGTGTGTGTGTGTGTGTGTGTGTGTGTGTGTGTATTATAAGAGAGTCCTGTCTAACAACATTATCACATTTGACTGTCTGGAAAAGCTGCTTCACTGCTGTCACAGAGTCCCTCCCTGCTCTGCTGTTTTCACACCTTATAAACAGTAGAGGCTGTGGTTGGGGTTTATTGCACGAGGGCATTTTGTGAGGCGTTCAAAGGGCTGGGAAGGTCCTACAAAGTAATCACACACATGTTACAATTCAGACAATAACACAGTACAAAATGATAGATAAAAACTGTATTTCACTGTTATTGTCATTTTGTATCACTCTATCGACACATTGGAGTATAACTGTTGCCGTAGTTTTAAACGAAGTAGGCCTGTACTTCAAACAATGTTGGTAACTGAGGCCATAGGCTGAATGGAAAGGTTTGCATATTATCCTCATTTGTTCAATAATAATTTGATTATAGGCCTATATAATTATCCATTTTAAGAAATACTTTGTAGAAGGGTTGTCAAAAATATTTTTAAAAATCAAATCAAATGGAGGGAGTCTTCGAGATTTTTTTTCGCAAGGGTTATTTTTTTCCGTAGAGCTGAAAGGTTACAAACCAGCAGACGTAGACCCCTTTTTTTTATTTTTTTTTAAATATACTGAAACGAAGACTCGTTGTGTTGCAGATCTTTTGACCTTTAATAACAGAGTCTAAATACTCTTCGTCGAAGTTGTTTTAAAAACATATGGAAGGACAGAAAAATACGGTTTATTCGTATTAATACACTAAAAGTGTTTTTTTTTTCATAAACGTAATGGTATAATAAATATAGAACACATTATCATTTCCTCATGTTCTATTGAACTACTCTTTATTTTGAATGAAACAGGAACGAGGTATTTGAAGTGTGCACATTGTTTCCACAATTAGATCAAAAGCTTACGGTTAAAAAACATCTAGATTACAAAAAGAATAAGTTAAATTATTACACAATTAGGTAGCTGTGACATTCAGGTAGTCGAAGATCATTACAGTACATGCAAATAACAAATATTCCACAGTAAGTCTACTATTTATGTGCAACAAATACAACAATCACATCTCCTAAATTCTTACGAGACAAACATGAAATACTAAGAAAAAAAATCCTGTCTTGTTTGAACAACATAAACTTTACAACAACATGTGTAACATGTCAGGAATATTAAGTACAGACCCCCCCCCCTTCCCCCTCCTAAGGCTCTTATCCAGCATCAGTCCAAAAAACAAGTTAACTGTTTCTTCGCCGATCTTTGTTGTCTTTCTTCATCTTCATCCTGCGGTTTTGAAACCAGATTTTCACCTGTCTCTCGGTCAGATTCAGGAGTCTAGCTATGTCATATCTACGGTCCCGGGGGAGGTACATGTTAAAGAGAAACTCCTTTTCCAGTTCGAGGATTTGGTGCTTTGTGTAGGGACAACGCTTTTTTCTGGTGGGCTTTGCGTGAAGCCAGTTGGCTGAAGGGTTATCTGGAAACAGGGGGGCAAAAATAAAGCTCTGAGAACAAAATTTTGAACACAAGAATTGTCAATCAGGCCTACAACTTTAGGGAGGACATGCCGTTACTGTCAGGATTGTGCATTTGTAAAATGTATATTTTTTTAAATAGGCTTTATTTTTTGTAATCTGAGGATGAAAGATAACAAAACTTTCATCGAAATCCATTGAAATGTTTGTTAAATTTGACACTGTAGTTTTACAATCAACATTTCGATCCTGTTTATTTATTTAAAAAGATTGATGTTATAGGCTGTAAAGGCTGTTTTTGTTCAAATCAAATTATCTTAAAGATATTTTACGCCCATTCTCTTATTCAGAAAGGCCTGGATTTGCAAAGCAATACCTCCAGATCCGTTCGTGGAATGTTAATTTATTTATATAAATCCTTCAAATTAAGACAATAAAAATGGAAACTCTGCATTGCTTACTTGCATCTGTCTCCCTCTTCTCCTCCGCTGGCGGGCTCTCCTCCTCAACAGATTTAATCATGGACGAGGTTTCGCAGGGAATCTCCGAGAGCGATGCTTCATTTCCAATGTCGGACAAAAGCGACGTGTGCGTCTCCAAAGTTGTGCATTCAGCACTCCCGACCAGAGGCTCGGGTTTGATCTCATAGTGCATGGCTGTCGAGGGTAATCCCGTCAGACAGAGGGACGCAGAGACCGGATCCAACGCCCAGGAGCGCGTAAACATGCCATCGCAGTCCCCACTGGTGTAATGGTGATGTATATAGGTCGGAGCCGCTGTGTTTGGAGGGTGACCAGAGATCGGACTCCAAGATCCACCAAAAATAGAAGATTTCGCTTGCAAAGGGCACGGCTCCTGTCCGCCATATTCGGTGAGCATCGCCTGCTCCACCCCTGCAGCTGATGAGAATCTGGATGCCATGTCTTCCTGCTCGGCAAGAACAGGCGACTCAATATAAAAACTCGTTCCCAACGTCGACATTGCACAAAAATGCAAGAAAATGGCGCGTTAATGTCCAAAAATGCGGAGAAAAAACGAATTCATTGCATATAACGTGCTGCTTTCCTGCACCAGCGAGGGGGCTCAATGCGTCCAGTAAGTTGAACCTTGCCCAAGCCTGGATAGGGCGTCCCGAACACGTGACCGTGGGACAGAACAATAAATAATAAATCAGCCTGCTGCTCAAGTAAATGGCCACCATTTTCCCCACCATATTTTAATAGCAAATCCCCGCGCTTTTATTGGGGAATTTTACGTTTTATTAGCAATAAACGTTATGATTTTTGTCAAGAGATATTGTGTTGGCATAATCGAACACAGATGTGATAAAGAGAGGAGCAGGGGGGTGGGGGGGGGGGGGCTTTGAAGTCTGCATTTTCTAATCACTAAACAACCTTGTCCAATAAAAGTACACCAATGAAAACATCACTTTATATTTCAAAAGAAAAGAAAACTTCGTACGCAATTTCTAAACTTTTTTTGGAAAAGAAAATTGTGGTTCTTCGGTTCAGGGCTGCTAAAAAAAAAAAAGTCATGACTTTTAAAATAAAAAGGAAATTATACTTAATTTCACAAATTTTAAACAGAGTATGGGACAGTTTCCAATGTGCACATAGCTGCGTCTGCAGGGTTTGAGGCTATTTTAAAGGCAATCTAAAACGGAAAACAGGGTGAGGTTATTTGGGTGCAATATAACAGTCCTTTTATCACGGGCAATTGGGTTGTTTTTCTTCAGGTTACAACCTGGCTGTCTAAGCTAAATAATACCAATAAAGCTCAGCCTTTGTGTCCTTTCTCTGGCGCAGGCAGACGCATCCGGTATTTCCTACGGCGAGGCAACTGGCAGACTGCAATGATCATAACCGAGGCCTTGTCTGTCCTTTCCTCATCAGCTGGACATATACGAGCCTTAATCCTTTCATTTCCCGGCCTGCAGCTTTATTTCCTGCCATTCAACTCAAACAGAAACGCTCCCAAACCTCTCTAGAGGTAGTTGTCATTATAGTAATGGTGAAAACTTCATGTCGCAGCATCCAGATTCATTATTCAACCTCTGAATAAAAAAAACGAATTCAATACAAAAATTGGCTTCAACAGTTCCTTTTACGCACAGCAATAAAAACTTCATTGGGCTTTCTGGGATCACATTTTCTATGGTGGACTTGTTGCAGTGAGCTAATATTCAAAAAAAGAAATGGAGCAGAAATGAAAAGATTCACTTTGAACGATGCGATGAGTTTTACTGAGGTAATCCAGACAGTTTCGTGTTGTGGGAGAAATATTATAGCCCAACAACATGAGACTACCTAAACCACTCAACAGTCCGCTCTCCTCTGACGAGATTTCAAATCTTTTTTTTTTAACACTTTCATAAGTGCAGACATTATGTAGTTTCATAACCGGTTTGCCTGGAAAAATAGTAGAATTCTCTAAAGGCGGAAAAAAAGAAACGTGGTTGAACCGATTTTATTTATGGTCAGTTCGCGCTCATATTCTCAAAGTGTTTTGTAGCATTTTATGTCCATGACTTCTATATTAAGATATTAAGTTGTAGCAGTTTGGCATGAACAATATCAAGTAATTTTCTTAGTTTCACAAAATTAGGAAACTTCTTTATTGGACTACTTAGAAATACTTTTTTAAATGCCATTGATAAGAAAATGTTTCTTCTCTAACTGTTTGGTTTCATTTCTGTCAAGGACAAAAATCAACCAAGTGTGCAGACTCACCAGACATCCATTACAGGCTTAAACTATGAGGGACATCACCCTCTACTACTGGTATAATATTTACGGTTCACAAAGCGGACCAGGTCCAAAACACAGAGGCATTAGCACCATGCACTGCGCCGCTGCCAGCTGAAAGATTTAAACAGCGAGCTGAATCTGAATGAAATAAGAAGTCTGCAGTTGCAGGGATGGTTTTATTAATTTCACCAGCAAAATGTGCAAATTTTCAACAGACCTCTCGGGTTATTTTAACGGTCACATTAAGGCCTTCACGTAACTGTAACACAAGTATCTCAAGGGTGAGTACAGCATGCAAAGTCCAATGGTTCCCTCAGGTTGAAAATACAAAATGTACAAGCCTGAAGCTCTGAAACATTGAGGTCACAGTCTGAACACTTCAAACACAATGCGTCAACGATACAAATGGAGCCATTAATAAATACAACAGACATGAAAACAAGAAAGAGCAACAATCAATAAGTTAGCAGTAGGGTCCTATTTTTCCATGGACATTCTCACAGTTGGGTGGGTGGGGGCCCTGCACAGGCGCCCTTGCCATGGATGGAGGAGGGCGCCAAAGACGCAGACGCAGACAGTCTCATGAGAAACTGAAGTTGCTGGAGAGCTCTCGGATCCTGCTCTCTCGGCTCATTTTTTTCAGTTTCATCCTCCTGTTTTGGAACCAGATTTTGACTTGCCTGTCAGTGAGGTGCACACTGCGGCTGATCTCCAGGCGACGCTCTCTAGTCAAGTACATGTTGAAGAGGAACTCCTTCTCCAGCTCCAGAGTCTGGTGCTTGGTGTAGGGGCAGCGCTTCTTTCGGCCACTCTTCGCTGTGAGCCAGTTGGCCGTGGTTTCTATTTTCCCATCTCCTGTGAAGCAAAAGACAGGATATTAAAGGCAACAGGTGTTTCAGAGACAAACATCTTACTTTCACAAAGAATGGATTCAAAACTTAAAAGGAATAAAACCTGACATCATTTAAAAATACAAATGTATGTTTTACTCTGTACGATAAAATATAGTGGGTAGAAATCTACAGTTTGAACTGGCACTTAAATACATCAACAATAAAGACTAGTACAATGACTGATTTCTTTATTTAGCCGATTTTTTTTCCACCATTTTACGCACAGCCCCATGACTGTGTAGATATCCAATACTGCAGCAATTCTACTAGAAACTGATATTTACTCCATTGAGCAGCTTTAAAAGCAGTAGCCTGCAGCTAACTGCATTTTTATTAACACATAAAATAAAACCTGCACAGTGTGCTGAAATAATGGAAACATCCGAATCATGCAGGACAACAGACTGGATATACTCTGTTGTTGCTCTGGATTAGATGGGCCTAATAATTAAACATTAGAATGATTTAATTTAAACAAAATTGCCTTCACCATGATCTTTAATAGTTGCATTTTACATTAAATCGTCGATGCCTTCTTGAATAGAGTTGTAATAAAGCACGGCTAGCGGTGTTGTCTAAACAGCTCCTGAATCACAATAGCTTTCATTCTCGGCTCTGATTGGTCACGTTCAATTTCGCCCCATGTCTAATAAAGCTGTAAATACCCGTTAAACGCGCACCTGAGTGTCTGACTGTTGAACTTAATTTTTATGGTCAGAAAACCACAAGTCATACAGACTGGAAGTCTTAAACATGGATGCGTATTTTTGCAGCATTTTTTATTTTATTTATTTTATTTATATATATACATTTGTCTGATCTTCACCTTTTACGGGTTTCTCCGGACTCTCCGTAACGCAGGTCTCAGCGGGCTCAGGGGAGGACGATCTGTCCGAGGAGAGCCGACTGTCCTCCTCTCCGGCCGGGGCGCAGGGCGCAGGGATAGGCGCCTCCTCGTGGCTCTCCCTCCGCTCTGGCTCAGCATGGGCAGGCTGGGAGGGTTGGCTGTCCGAGCGAGCAGGTCTCTGCAGGGTAAAGTGGTTCATGTTTGGATGGACATCTTGGTACAGCCTGGAGGAGGACGTGTACGCCTGAGACAGACGGAAGTAACCGGGGACCGGCAAGCTGCTCCCGGTAACGGGGCACGATGCGCTCGAGTAGGAAATGTCATCCACTGATGATCCTTTAGGACATTTGTCAGACTCGTAGAGGCAGTATGCGCTCTCCTCCTTTATGCTCGGGGAGAAGGAGCACTGAGGCATATGCTGGCCACTGCTGGGCTGATCCACCCGGCACGATCTCGAGGTTTCCAGCCACGTTTCCATCCCTTGAACATACGGAGCAGAGGAAGGGATCCCGCTTTGGTTGACTGGCTCGTTACTGCGCTTACCGATCCCTGGGAAACACGCACCGGACAGTCCATATGAATATTCCGACGCCGGTGGCAAATACACGCCGTTACTTTGGTAATATGAACCACTGTCGGTTCTCACGTTGATTAAAGAGTCCACAAAAAATGAATTTCCAGTCTGGTTGTTGGGGCATGTCATCGTTGTGGTGTAATTTGACGGTGGATGAAGATATCCCTTTCTGGCTGACATTTCTTGTGCAAAACATTGCTGAATAATTACTGATACTCACGCTTCTCACTGTAGCCTGCAGCCAATTAAAACAGCAGGCGACCAAAGACTCCTCCCAGTCCGAGCAGGCAGCTCCTCTGTGTCATACACTTTGTTTTAGGCTAAAATAAAGAGGGGACTGTGGAGGGGAAAGTGATGCATGAGAGGGGTTTAGGTACAATCTTTAAATCTCATTTGAATCCCAAATTTTGAGCCTCGATCTCCACCTATAAGCCCAAAGCTGCCTATGTAAATTTATAACAACAACCCTGTTTGACAACTTAGTAGTTGAAAGCTGTCTCTAACAGTTATGTACAATGCAGAGCTTTATGGCCACTTTAACAGCACTGTAAAAATGAAGGGTGCCTCTGAGAAGCTCAGGGTGCATCAAAATCCAAAAGGTCCATTGTGACTCTTTGGTGGAGGGACTTTTAACCCTTCTTGTGCTGCTCTGGTGGTTAATAGGACTCATTTTAACATTCCTCGTGGACTGACAGTAGAGAGTGCGTCGCTGGTCATAATAGCCATTTCCTATTCAATGTAGGGACCTCCATCTTATCTGATTGTGGTGTGAATATTGTGAGTTACAAACGCCATTGGAACGTCCAGACACCTTTTATTGCGAATTGGCTCTTTTTGGGGCATTTTTAAAGGGGACACAGGCCTACTGAAGTCAGTGTCACAGCTGAACAAAGCCCTGGAGCCACATTTGCCCTAATGGTCGTCTAACATCAGCAAAACTACAAGGATTGCAGTCTGTAGCCGAATAGAGTTCTACTGTTTCATTACTATTATTTCCTTTCAGAACCACAGGGCATGTGTTAGTGACTGTGTGCGTTTTAACTCATCTTTTAAGAAGGGCACACGGCCAAGCCCTTTACGTTATCTTTATTTCTTTTAATTCATCTAAAATGTAGTCTCAGGCAAATCCTCACAATATTCACCCTAAATCGAGTAAAACTTCAAATTTAGTTTATTTTTGTATCTTCAATTTCAAACAGATCCCCATAACTTTTATCCATATAGTCTTTGTTCCTTTCCCAGACAACATACCTTTATACACATCTCTGTTTAAAATAGGTCAAATAAAGATGTGTGATTCTGTCCGGGAAAAAATATCATTCAACTTTTACAATGCCTAACAATAATCTTCATCTATTAAAGGGTTGGATGTTTAAGGACTATCTTTAGTCCTAATTCAAAGATAACAAAAAACAATACTCGGACACATTGTTTCGCTATAGCCTATACAGGCCAACAAAGAAAATACTGAAATTCAAGATGATAATAGTAGATAAGGTGGCTTCTGGTGAAAAAGACAAAAAATAAACGCAACTCGTTCGTCATGACTGATAAGATGAGATCTTTTTTAAAAGTCATATTTCAAGCCAAGCTTCATTGAAAGACCGCCAGCAGAGTCCCGCAGATTAAGAAGTTGATAGCTCAGGACTGCAGATTTAAGTCAGCAGTAAAATGTCTCCTAAGGTGAGTATACCCGGAAATAAAACAAAGGCCAAGTCCGTTTTCTTATACGTCTGGAGTCTCAGAGTCTAGAAATTAGAGTTATGTACAGACATTGTAAATGGCGTCAAAGCTGCTGCAGTCTGCAGCCTCAATGAATGATAATAATCATTAATCCAGACACTCCGTGTGATGGTTCAGAGTGCGCTGTGGGTGAGCCTCTTTCAGATTATTAGGCCCATAAAACTATATATTTTTTGTTTTATAACACGAATACCATTTTTAAATTAATGTTAGAAATTAATTTACAAACACATAGTCAGTATTGTATTTTTAGGGTTCTAATTGTTAATCGCGCACGCACGAGCACGTTTACATGTTTACATTAACTAAGAAAACGATTAAGGTTTTTTATTTAAACATGGATACACTGTTTAACAACATCAATTAAAATCTATTTTTATGAGACGTTGTATAGCTCTGTTTTCAATTGATTTAAACTGGGATTAAAGAAGTTCGTGAGCCACACTTTGGAAATCTAGGCCCGAGTGATCGTGTTACTCGGTGCGCATTAGTCACTCCAGACCTCTGCTGAACTGCAACATGATAACCTGAGTTCAACTTGATTCTCAGAAAAATATAAACATCTTCCTTTTTTATTTAACCTGTGCTTATATTTTCAGCAATGCCTTTCTTGCAACAAACCATCTGCTCATGAAATACAAACGTTATTTCTCAGATGAACTAACTACAAAAATATATACAGACTTTCTGAAGGAACACACAGAAACTCAGCAGTCATAAAGATGAAATGTGCATGCCTACCTTAACAATGAGATCCTGAGGTGTGGACATATTTTAAAGCAGCCAGGCGTTCAGTCAAACTTCTTTTATATCTCTATTCACGGCAATGACATTGATCTGAGGAGCGCCACCCGGTGGCCACAGACAGCTCAGGGAACTCCTACACCGCAACACAAACGCAGAATATTCCGACCCCGGTAAGAAGCTGAAACGAATGACGCCGCAAAGGTCCGTGGACACATGCTATGAATGCTCCCAGCCGCTGTTTTTCGGCCCCTTAGTCACAGTTAATAACCTTGGTCTCAGACGCTTTATTGCACTACACTCCAAATGCTCCAGACGAATAGACGTTTTATGGCCAAGTTACTGGAGCAACTGGGAGGATGTGCAGCAATCAAAGCGGAATTCCAGGGAGCCTCACAGGATGCACGGTATAAGGAAGGCATCAGTGCCCTTATTAGCTTATAGCCGGCCATTCAAGTTGTTTACAGGGGTCTGGTGCTGGATATAAAACCACCTGAAACAATCGTTGGCCATCATTGTATGCGCGAATGCATCATTTTAACCTTCCTTTGTAGGTTCAAAAAACTCTCCAGTGACTGGTTATTAATGTACCCGTTTTAGATTTGATAAATGACCATACAGGTTGTAAGTATTGCCATCGTAATCCGGGGTTCGTAATCCCTTTACCGTCACCGTTTAATGCTTCGCATGAAGTCTGATTTCTAGTGGATTAACTTTCCACAAATATTGTTGATGAGAGCATAAACAAACTAATAGGTTCAAATTATTTTCAAATGAGCTGCGTTTTAAATCTGAATGTATTCCGACAAGTGTCGAGATTGTCTCAGTTCATTTTAGGTCAGAAATGAGCCTTTAAACAGAAATAAATGAAGCCTTTGTAATCGATATCAAATAATAACTGCAGCGGATCCCATTTCCAGCCATGGGGGAACAAAAAGCATCAAACCTCCATAATATGCACCTGATATGACCCACGTTGCTTGTATACCAAAAGAAAAGGATTATGTTTCTTTTGAGGGTTTCCTATTTTGTCAACGTTTGCCCTTCAAGAATAATCCAACTTTACGGCCAATGGGTTCAACATTCGCCTCTACAGGGGGTCAGACGCAGATGTTAAATATCAGCTTTAAAATGCATGAACTGCTATCAGATTATGACCTAACTCATTCTCTAACTATGCAGCACTGACTTGAAGTTTTGGGGCAGTTGTTCACCGCCCAAACTCTAAACTGAGATCTGTTAGTAATTCGAAAACACAAAATGCCAGTTTTTCAAGAAGTTGTATTTGTAATAACGTTAAAAGATTAAGAGAAAAAAGGAAACCATTGTTTTTTTGGTTAAGATTACTGGCCATAAAAATTGCGTGTGCGTGCGCTCATTTGGAATGGAAAATAACATCTAAAAGGAAAGTAGCCTCTTGTAAAGTCATCCTCGTGTGTGATATTAGATTATGTAAAGGGAATTCAGACACATGAGGATATAAGCAGACGCAAGCCATACACGTAAAATCAACAATTTTAAATTTGTTCATGAAGGTAAGAGGAAAAGCAGACCATAATAATAATATCAATAATAATAATAACCATTATGATAATAATAATAATAGTTTAATGACAACATATTGTATAAATAGTAGAAATCTTTATGAGGTTTCGCACATTAAAAGTCGCCATTCTGTCCAGTTAGATGTAAATGTGTGCTGTAAAGTGTTTTGCATCTTTGCACGACAGTCTCAGTTCAGTCTTTATAGCAGAGGGTTTGTGTAGTACTGTAATCGGTCTCTGTTCAGTTTCTTCTCCTTCATCCTCCTGTTCTGAAACCAGATTTTCACCTGGCGATCAGTCAGATTGAGCATCCGCGAGAGTTGCAGCCGCTTCTCTTTGTTGATGTAAACGCTGAAAAAGAACTCCCTCTCCAGTTCCCTGATCTGATACTTTGAGTACGGACATCTCTTCTTGCGCGTCCTCTGGCCACCTGAAAATATGAAGAAATAAAAGGGCAAAGGGTCAGCACATTGGATGTTGTAGACTCTTTCGAACAACATGAATCATTAGTCTGATTTCCTGCTTGAAGCAGCCGCGGTGGTCTGAGCTGAGCTTTGGAGTTCAAGTGTTTCCTCCTCTCAGGCCTGTAGGACTCAGATCTGTAAACAAAGACTGGACTTGATGGAGAGGCACGTGAAGGATATCATGTCGGAAGTTGTGAAAAACTTAGTGACATCGGTAAACCCTCACTGTCTGGTTTTTAAGAATGGGGGCCTTCGTTCAGTCATGGGTATCATGTATCTGATATGCTTGTATTGTGCGTGTTTTTTATTTCACTGTGGGCAAAGAGCAGTTGTTTCAGTGTCAGCGGGGGAAATGCCAGAGAAAGCAGTTGGTGTATTAAATCCTTGCAAATCCAATGAATGTGTAAATATTTATCTTGAAAAAGCAGCAGGGTTTAAGCCTTAATCTGGCGCAAAGTCAGATTCAAATGCCTCAGCATGCAGTTCACATGTGTTAACCCGGAATAAACCACACTAAACATCCAAAAACTTACATGAAACAAGATATATTACGAATAAATTAATTATCAGCACATGGATCCAAATATGTTAGATTGTAGATCATACATCTTAAATCTCTTAAATGTTTGGATTTTTATTGAAATGGGTTGTACAATGACTTGCCGTAATACTACATGTTTATAGATTAAAATACATATTACTAACTGGCATATTTAGGCACATTTATGGAGAAAAATAGTGTAGGTTTGGGTTAAAATATTGTAAATCAAGCTTTACGCCAAAGTCGTCACGGCCAATTCCAATCCCAAGCACGTGATCTTGTTGTTTCAAACATAGTTTTGTTATAGGGGAAATCTGCAGGCCCGCCATAAACCTTCCATGCTTATAAAACAGCATATAAAACGCTTTAAGGGCAGCGCGTTAGATGTTTCTCCTGCTCGCATTCAGCACAGTTTACTCACTGCTGCTCCTACTCCGCTTGTCCTCGCTGTGTCCGGACGAAGACTTGGGGCTGAAGCTCTCCGCCGTGTCGGAGCCTGCGTGCGCTGGTGCGGGGCTCCTTTTGGCTGCCTGTCGTTCCGAATCTGCTGCCGCTTGTGCTGTGTTTGTGGTGCTGTGCTCCGCGCTCCCGTACGCGGTGTCAAAGAACTGGTCAAAAGCCTGTGGCAGGACTCCGTTCCTACCAACGCTGCCGTAGAAACCCCCAGGCGTCGAAGTGGTGACGCCGCCTGAGTGTCCCGCGCTTGAGCTGCCTTTCACCAGGATATCTCCCCCCCGTGAGGTCGGGGTCGTCCAGCCATCCCTGTGCGTGATGTCCTCGGCGTAACAGTGCGTCAGGCTCCCCCTGCTGTGGTGCCATTTACTGGAGGCATCAATCCCATAGTCCCTGAACGCAACATCTCTCACGGAGGGGACCTGTGGTAGCGCTGGGGACTGGTAGGGGTATGTCACGGGACAAGAGGACTGGCTTTGGGTTAAATAATGAGGCAGACCCGGGAAGTCTGCTCCGGAGACGTAGTAAGTGCAGCTCGGTAAATACATATTGGAGGCAGGGATCCGCTCATCAAAATCCATATTCTGCTGCTGGAAAACCCTTCTTATAAAAATCCGCTCATAGTTCCTCCGCGCACTCAGCTGCAGTCACTTTGAGACAGACTGCTGGAGCAGAAATCCTTAGACGTACAAGCTGACGTGGGGATCCATCTCTATCCATTCCTGAGGGCCAAAGCCATGTGACCACTGGCACAAAATGACAGCTAGCCTACGCCTCGATGTGTAGGCTATAAGAGGCAATGAGTCTACAAAGGAGACATTTGGGAAGGAAAATACATCCGAGGAATTACGCACAGACATAGTTTATGCTATTTTGACCTGGCTGGATATTTAAACACGTTTTGCGTTGTAGACTTGACTCTATCTAACTATAGCCATTGACGTTGAGGTATAACATTACAATGTAAATACAAAAAACGAGCATTATGTATCAAGTTTTAAAGCTGTTTCAAATGTTGTTGTTTTTTTGCAAACCTTTTCGTTCGTTTTTCGAGCTAATCCTCACCTTAACCTTAACCTCGACGTTTCAAAGACAAAGATCACATATTTAGAGTCACGCATGTCAGGCCTAAGACACAAACATCATTTGATTTGCTCAAACAAACAACATGCTCTGATCATTTGGGCACGAACCGTTTATGTGTCACTTATTTTGGAAGCTATTAAGAATGAATTCAATCTAAATGAAAAGTTGTCATCATTGTACCAGTGGCCGGTATGGCTTAATTTAGCCACCCAGGCTATATTTAGACTGACACCGTCCACGAGTGGCGGAGTCATGCGAGTCATATAGTGCACTTTAGTGAGGCATAGACAATAGACTTTAAAGAGGGCCGTGTGTTGTCTGTCGTGTGTTTGTTTGGACCAGCGTTTTAGCATACAGGCCTACATGTTCTACAGATTTGCACAAACGGATCACTTATTTCATGCTATTTCTTATATGCGTAAAAGTTGGTAAGCCCTTTTAATGTGTCTAGATTGCACGAGTAATGGCACTGACCCATTACGCACGTGCAGGATGTGTACAAATGTAAATGTCTGGTTAACTATTCGACGAGGGAAAGAAGCATGAGTGTGAGTGTTATCCACGAAGTCACGATAAAGCGACCGAGCATGCGTTTAACGTCCAGCGCAAACATACACATGCTGTTTATAGCCTATGAATACTAAAGATATTTAGCGAGGAGGGGCTCTCGCCTTTGGACACGGACTATTTCCCCCACTGCAATCCATTTCCATTTGTCATCACTGCAGTGTAAGTGGGCACATGTGCTTCACATCGCTGTTCTTGTTTTGCAGTCCATTTTGAATTTAGTCCGAATTCACTCTTCATCAATCAAAGGCTGATAGCCTGACACGTTTCTCTCTGCACAGGTGCTTCGACATTAATGGTGCGCATTTACTGTGTGAAACTGTTACTCGTTTAATTTTCTCGCGTGATAAATTTAACAATAACGCCTCTCCTTATGTTTAAAAAAAAAAAAAAAAAAAACTCTCACACGCACACTAAATATTCACTCTGCAGTTGTGGCCCAGTATCCCTCCGCGTCTCACAGCAGCTTCAACCACAAAAACACTGGGTTCACGTTTAACCCGGGTCAGTAAATGTTGCGTTAATCCACGAATATAAGTGAGACTGTTTTCATAGAGCTCGAGTGGCTGCTAAGCATGGAGGCTGCGTGGAAACAAAAACCAGGACATCCAGCCGGTTATCATGAGAGAGAAAAACAATGATTGTATTAGATGTAATAGTCACATTTGACGCACTTTAACCCACCAGTAGTCCTACCGGAATAATAATTAAGATGCATTTAAACTGTATTATATTTAAGGTGAAGTGGGGCTTATTGAACAATTTCTTATCTCCACGTGAAAATCAAGGCTGGTTGTTTTAGAGTGGCATGAAAGATGCGAATACATTTTTTTTGTTTTTAAATCAGGCCTTTAACCTGGAGCACGCGCACTTAGAAATATGAAACGTATTTTATTCAGTGTGAAAAACGTAAAACTATCCAAAGGTACTAAAATATCTCAATCTTTCCCAATGGATGACATAACTGATATTTATTTTAAAATAAAAACAGTGTGTCTGGTTTCATTTAGATTTCGCAGACACTAAAGAAGGTATTTGGTTTCATTTAACCGCTCTTACATTTCCTGTTCCTGCATGAGTTCATTTCACAGGATACACTTATTAGTATTATAGGCAATACTACTTGTAAATATTGTGGTTAAAGACGAGCGTGTGTAAATGTTGTGTTTTCACTTAATAAAAGGTACAATGAAATAACATGAAACATTACAATCAAAAAAGGATACGAACACTTGATGTGTATTTGACTCTTTCGTAATGAGAATAGCTGCTGTTATAGGGAAATATTTCACAATTCAATGATAGTTTTCAATGAATGAAAGGAGCTGTAAATCAATGAGAGCGGGACAGCAGGGTTCAATGTTGTGTTTGCTGCTGAGGCTCAGAATGTGTTTAGATTTGGATTTTGGATTGTGTCTTTAAAGAGAAACTGTTCGACAGGAAACTAAACCAGTTAGTGTTTCTAGAAATTCAAAAATTCGTAAAATTCAAGAGGATTAGAGGTTTTCAGATAGGAAGTTTGCAGCAAATTTAGTCATTATTTATATTTAGTTTTTTTATTAAGAGTCTTTAGTACCTCGAATGTTGAATTGCTGAAGTTCTAAACAGATGTTTATTGTTAATCGTGTTATTAAATGTTTCCCCGTGAAATATAACAACTCAAATACAGATACAAATAAATCGACTGTGGGCTTAGATTGACCTCACTATACTTCCACTTTCTTTCTGTTTGTGTTTAATGTGAGAATGTGCGTTATATTGTCTCGCTAAAGTCATTATTCAAACTGTCATACTCTATAACAGCTCTAAGAGAAGTGTTACAAACCTTTCTAACTGTATGTTGTGGCAGTATGCGCTGTGATGACAAATATAATATAATGCTCTGGATTGCAGATAAAAAAAATGAACAAAAACTGTTAAATGTGTTGGTGGTTCTGAATGTGCTCTCGGAAAGTGGAAGGGGAAATATTGGTTAGATTTTTTTTTTTAAATGTGTTAGAGCCAACTCTGTCCCATTAATTTTTATTTATTTTTTGTTCCTGGTTTATTCGGAGAAAACTTAGATTTTATTCACTGACGTTTCATTGAAGGCCACCCAAACAAACGAACATCAAACATATTAAATGATCAGCGTAAACGTCCATCATAACACACAAAAGATGAGTTTCTTTGGTGCTTTGTGTGTTCATTTGACTCCAATGTCTTTGAGAAGGCGCCACCATCTCAGCTCACATTTGACATTTTAATGTAAAGAGCTTCAGAACATTTAGTGTGTTAGTTTGATTCTAGACGTTATCTTGCAAAGAGGTCATCAGTGTTGTTACTCTTTTCTTCTTCAGCTTGCTTTAGGCCTGCACATACGGGTCTTCGTGAGTGAGCTGCACTAACATGTGCGGCTGTTAGGGGGCGCAATGACACAGAGCATCAGAAGGGATGAGGACGAGCTATAGAGGAAGGTTTTTAAAGAGACCTTTACTTATCAATGTGGATCAATAATAAAAACTAACATTATCATTGAAACAGAAGCTGTGACAGCAGTCCAGCTTCTCTGCATTGAAGTAAAAAGTATAAAGGCTGATAAAAAGCCTGACTGGCACTCTGAGTTACCGACGAATACTGTTTTAAGCCATGTTTGTAGATATGTGATAATCTAACTATTACCCACAACCCACAGTTGGGAGGTCAGTGCAGGCTTCAACTTTCATTTGAAAGAAAATGACGTCAAACTTTTCACAATGCAGGTATGTTTTATTCTGACAACAATTAGTGTGGGAAATTAACATTCGAGCTGATAAATGTCACTGTCTATGATGGTACTGTAATGTGGATCATGACCACATCATAATACATTAATAATGCATGATTTCATTTTAGTTAGTAGAAGGCAAAAAATCAGATCAAGCTGGCAACTTTAATCTGAAAGGATTTTTGCACGTCTGCTTCACACTATTCTTCTTTTTCGTTAAAATGCAAATTCGTAAAAATCAATAAAAGAAAAACAAGGTGTCCTTTTTTTATTATCCCACAATAATTGGAAATGAAAACATAAATTAAACAGACTTAACCTTAAAGATTCCGATTTGAGATGCAATGCTGGATAATAAAGTGATCATGTTCAAAACTGTAGGCATGTTGGAAACGAAAAGTTGAATTTCACTCTTCAAAAAAGTCCAAGAACAGATTCAACTTCATGCAAACTTCCGTCCCTGAAGGCTACAAATGCTTAGGCAAGAAATTACGCAAGATTGAACAATGACTTGAAAAAAAAAGAAAACTAATTTCTAAAAGATCTGTTCTGCTATTACTTAATCAGTAAGGAAAGAAAATGAGCTGAGATGTGGAGCCAAATGTCTAAATGTGAATACAGGTAAATAACACGTAAATCTTGGCCACAACTTGTAGAGTATTCCTCTACAATTATAAAATAATAAAAAGACTAATAAATATTCTTAAAGTCTTTCTTGTGCATACACATTTCTAATGTTCTCAAAGGAGAATCAGTTTTTTTCTTTGTGTGAATTATGTTTTTCTTTGATTTCAAATGTTGAGAAAAAATACACTGATATAGGCAGACTGGTGTAAATACTGGATATTGCACGCGCACACGCACACACGCCTTTAAGTACAGACAGATGGATATGACAGGCATGAGTGAGAAGACACTGTGCTGACATAGTTTCGCCACTAGATGGCGACATAAACTCCTAAACCTGAAGCCCGCAGTGGCTCTACTGTCCGATGGAGGCCTGTTGACGACGCATAGGATTTGGAAGTTTTCTATCAAGCAATCAGAAATGTCCAACTTCACTTCGACTGAGGATAATTAATGAAAATGACAAAAATCACATTACGTCTCTCAAACATTTATTGTCAAAAACTAATAGAATAGATAGTGGCAGTCAGGGGGTATTTACATGTTTAAATATATGTCCAAGTTTCCAGCACTTCCTTGCAAAATCGCTGGTGACTGACAGGCACAGGTCAGTCAGAGTTATTCTAGGCTCAAAAAGCAATCAAAACAGAAGTAAGTATTGAAATGCTCAGTGTTCACGTTTGATTACGTTTCATAAATATTGGTAGATTAATGAACAGAGATTGAATTAATCAAAACAAGGCCGTAGTGTAGATCCTGTCAGTGAGAGTTCCAAGCGGAGAATTTACGCATAAGCTTCATCCTCCCCCCCCCTGTCTTTAACCCCTTGTGAGTAATTGCAAAAAAAATGTATTCTATCATATCAACATTTTTTGTTACACTTTGGCTTTCTTTGAGGATCACGGGTTGAAAATGACTTTTCAGATGTATTTGCTGTAAATTGGTTCTATAGATGCTTATTTTAAGGCCATACATTTTAAATTCCGGATTGAATTAAGTGATATAAAAGCGCAGGATCACTCAGGGTGTCCCATGGCTTCTAACAGAATGTCTTATTTTCTGATGAGTATTTAAAGGAGCCCTCTCAGACTCGCCTTGGTCAAAATGTTGCAAACCATTTCCGACCTCCTGTCAACAGGCTGCACCGACTGGTTCCAATTAAACGCGAGGAAGGAAATGTGCAGGTCAAAAACAGAGCCATTCTGGCAACCAAAAGGCCGTTCATATCATGTAATAAATTATCGCACAGTTTTTTGGATGAAGGCACATCCGTGTCCGCACTTCCTCTCCCGTTTCATTTCTTTTTTCCACAGCTAACTGGAGCTCTTGAATTTATTGACCACTTTTTTCTCCTTTACGCGGCGGTTTTGAAACCAGATTGTCACTTGTCTCTCAGTCAGATTTGTTTGTGCGGATATTCTTCTCCTTTTATCCTTGGTGATGAATTTGTTGGCGTTGTATTCTCTCTCCAACTCCTTTAACTGAACCTTTGTGTATGGCACGCGCTTCTTTCTCCCCCGGCGGATAGAGCTGTCACCTCCAGATATGGTGTCTGTGGAGATATAAGAAAAAAGCGTTTTTACAATTTAATTTGTTCAAATTGCATCATATAGAACATGTTTAATTGAAATAAAAATTGTGTGTTTTTTAATGTGCATATTCAAATAATGCCTGTTAAAATGTTTGATTTTGCATTTGCCCTTAATTCAAATATTCACAAGTTTTACATACACATCCACTTGCACATTGCATATTTCTCTGTCAATAAAAATGTTAAAAATTACCTTGCAAAGAGGATTTCCATAGAGGGTTTGACTGTGGCTGCTCCTTGGCGCAGTAAACTTGACCACTCCAGCCATTAGTGATGGCCCAGGGCTGGTAGGGCTCCATGGGCAGCAGTGACTCGTGTCTGGGCTCAGATGGAGCACTCAGTGCAGGTACCACAGGCACGTCCAGGTAACTGGGCTGGTAAGGACTCGAGGAATAACCCTGATAAAATGCAAATTCCTTTGCCCTGGTTGAGAACTCCTCACCAGAGACGGATGAGTCCATGTATTTATCGCCATATCCAGAGGGCTGAGCGCACGCCTTGACGCTGCCGTGTGACATCCTGCACGGGTAATAACTGCTGCCAAAGTATCCATAAGGCAAAGACGCATTTGGAGAGCTCTGAGTGGCAGAACAGGGACTGCATTGTTTGCCAGGCTCCCCCATGCCAGACACTGGCACCTCACTCGCAGTGTAAGTGGTGCTGGGAGCCAGCGAGGTTGGATGCGCTAACAAATTCCTGCACTGATTTGCTGCAAAATTGCCTCCAGTAAATCCCTCCATGTTCTTGCTTCTTTCATCCAGGCCACTGTCGTAGAGAAACATCACCGGGTCGATCCAGTGCGAGTGGAGGAGTAATGAAGCGGTCATAGCATGCCCTACATCGAGAGGACCAGCTCTTTTTCTAAATCCACTCAACTGAGCAGAGACAGGGACTCCGGGAGAGTAACGATACCAGCACGCCTGAGTACGGAAAGATCGCGAGGTTATTGGTCAGGGCCAAGCACGTGATATGCAAAGGAGCCGATAAACGTCTAGACATCAGATCAAGCAGATCGAGCCGCATATTTGTGAAGATGTACTGAACATCAGTAGATTTTAATTTTATGCAAATGAGTCACTAGGTTTTTTTTTTCCTTCAAAATAAACGAATATTTAAACCTAGGACAAAGTGTAACTTTGGTTCAAAGAAAGTTTGTCTATCTGACTCATTCCAACAAGTCGTGTGGAAAACGAAATTATTCATGCGTATTTCTGAAGGTGCAATGATGCGCAATTACGCGTGCCATTTTGGTTTCTCCCGCTGAGGGTGAAGCAAATCTGACATGTTTGAATTGATTTTTGTTGTTTAGCATAAGATTTGAAACTTTTTTTGTTCTTCCAAACAAAGAGACACACTTTTACAAAATGTTCTATCATGTCTGAAAGGGTCTGTTAACTTAGAGTTAGGCTCTTTGAACATAATGATTACAAAATAAAGATTACACAACAAAGAAATAAAGTGATATTCTGTTATAGATGCCTTTTTATTCATCATATAATAACAGTAATTATCAGTTTAATTATCTTCACATTTGGCACTTCACCAAGTTAATGCAGACATTAGTAGGGAGTGCAATAAATACAAAAAACAGGCCATATTTGGTTGTACAGAGTCGCGACTGGAGGCCAAGGTCAAGTTGAAAGTTGCATTCAACCAAATAGGCTCTTCGCGCCTGGAACCAAAACGCTTGTGAATGGCGAAAAAGGCATTCAACGATTGACATGGCTCGTTTGTAAATGTTCCGTCTCTTTCGTTAAATCTACCATATTTTGCCATGACAGAAATTCAATAATTTCTGGTAGTAATCAACTTGACGATTTTTTTCTTCTTTAAAACGTGACTTTACGGAACATATTTGGTTCAGCCAGAGTCTCTACATGTTTTTGCATTCCGCGTAAAATGGCTCCACGGGTGGTCTGTTGTCCTTCTCAGCAGAGCTCAAAGAAGTTTTACATTTAGGCACATTGACCATATATTATACACATCTCCTTATGGGCACGAGAGTGTATGACAATGAAATAAAATGTTATTAGCGGTTTTGCCCACATTTGGCACAAAAATCTTCAACTAAATATCACCGTGATGGCAAACACTGGCGTCAACCTAAATACTGTTCTAACTCCAAGAGAGCGTTTGTGTTGTACATTTCTGAGGCAGGACCACAGACGCAGAGCAGAGTATACCCTTCCTAAATTTGAGCACCATTTTATTTTTAATAGAGTTTTCCCACCTTTTGAGGCTGTAAATCTTTATGGCCCAAGTTCATAGCTCGTAGGCAGAGAGAGCAGCGAAGGGAAGCAGAATGTTTTATAACTGGATATATACTATATTATATATATTTTGGTATGTTTTGTTATGATTCGATTTAGGCCTAGCCTTATTTGGACTAAAATCGTACACTGCATTATGGGTAAAGCAGTCTACTTTCTTTAATGTCGCTTAAACAGATTTAGAAAATGTGTGAGCTATAGACAGAAATCTGCTCAGCCACGTTGTTCACACGTTAGAGGACGGACGTCCACGAAAAAAATACAGCTGCTGCTGGGAAAAAGGAAACGAGCATTCAGGTCAGCACTGAAAACTAAAAACACAAGCATATCTTTATGTGAAAACAAACAATTCTTACTGATGGTGGTGATGCCATTTTTTTTTTTTTTTTTTTTTTTTTTTTAAATTGGAAGTCCATCAACACACACACTCAAACACACCACGCAACATCCTAATTCATGCACATGACATTATATAGAATTAAGTTAATGTTTTTTTCTTAAAAACTAGATGATATATATTGCCGGTAAAAAAGACAAGATAAAACCAGTTGAAAAAAAAACGTTTTAAATCTTAAACAAAATTATTCTTAATGGTTTTTTTTTTTTTTTTTAATTGTGTGTATGTGTGTGTGAGAGAGAGAATTTGTTGATTAATAATGAAATGTAGCCTTTAACCTATATAATACATTAAATTAAAAATCCCGTATTAGGCCAAGAGGAAACTTCTTGAAGTAGGCCTAAGTCGTCGTAATTTAATCATCAATGTTGTTACTTATATGGCATATTTATTATGCTTCGTTTATCAGTTTAAATTGTTTGCAGAGTTCATTAGTTGATTAATTTGAAGAAAAAAATTGACAAGGAGGCATCTGAAACTACATAGCCTACATTTGACATTCAGACAGATCGTTACTTGTCTGCTTTGAAAGCAAACTTAAAAAATAAATGCAGTTGAGGCTTGTTGCATTAGTCTGTAATTTGGATAAGTACAATCTACAGCAAAAAAACATGAGTACCGAATAGTCATCAGAGCAAGCAGCGTTACTTTTCTCCATTTACACAAATGGAAATGTCAATAGCGCACATGCATATTTGTTCGTGCATATAATTGCAATTTAAATATGTATATGCATACATTCAAATAGCATAAAACATTGCCGTATAGCAGACGATCTGAAGGGCAGCGCTCTAGTGGCAGACGAAAGCAAGTTGTGTTTCCATTTATGTATGTATGTCTGTATGTGTCTGTATGTGTGTGTGTGTGTGTGTGTGTGTCCCAGTCTGCTGGAGGCCTGAGACCAAAGCGCAGTTCTGTTTGCAGGACCTATCAGCTAGATGACAGCACAGCTCTTAGCGTACAGTGCTTAATGGACTTTTTATGAGTTTGCCTTGTGATCGCATGACCTCTAGCACCTTGGCCCCTCAGTGGCTCTTGGCAAACCAGATCAGAAACATGCCGCCCTCCTGGGTCGGACTAAGTGGGGATAGAATAGGAAGGATCTAAATCCCAAACCTAAATCTCAAAAGAAAATCTACTGAGGCTGGCCCGCTGCATGACGTTAAAGTGCTCACAACTTTTTTTCATAGCTGTGCAGTAGGAAACATGCAATAAAAATCATTTATGCATCTATTCGGAACGGTCTTCTAGCAACAGTGTGCGATTTTTGGGATAATATAGTTCTAATAGAGTTGATGTAATCTTTGCCTGGAACTGTTTCGGTGTCTTTGTTTCCTTGCCCGTCGCCCCGTCACTGAATGTGCTCTGTAGCCAGGCTGCTGCTGCTGCACGCACATGTTCCTCCAACATTGTCTCGTGACTAAAGAATCAACACGAGGCGACAGAATTCATTTGAGTCATTAGACTTAAGTACTCACAGACATTGGTTAATAGTACTGAGAGTCCAAATAAGAACCATCTAAAATTTGAATATATGTTATCGTGGGGCATAGTAGCTATATCCTTTGTCTATTGTGTCTGATGTTTGGACGCTTTGAATGCTCACAGCTACAATAACTTAAATAGAAATGAAGGAATGCATATAATACTTGCCCGCAGAGCTCTTCCCTTTACATATGTGGGTTATTCAAGAGAACATTATTTATGGCCTTAAAACACATCTGTTAAAAGCCATTCCAGCAGTTTTTAAAAAATCTGTTAATACTACAGGTAAGTCAGTAAAATATTCAGTTAGGTGATTCATCAATTAATCACAAAGTTTAAGACATACCAATCTGTCTTTATTTCTTAACAGGATATGATATAACACTCTTACCCCAAAGTAACATTTCCAAAATCAAGAAAAATAACTCCCGAACAGAAACACAACATGAAGAAAAGATCACAAACAATAGATAAATATGTGGAGACTAAACCGTACTCTGCATCTGTTTAGCCATGAAAAAAAAGAGATAATGAGTTATCTTCAAAACACCAGACTCTCATCAAACTGTCACTGTCAAACATCATCTGTTGGATCATCTCTGTATCTGACGATTCTTAATTTCTAAAAACTGAAAAGGAGTGTTGCAATTTCACAAAAAAAAAAAAAAAAAAAAAAAAAAAACATCATTTCCTATATAGGAGAAGTGCACTCATGATCTGTCACGCTGTGTTGGAGCTCTGTAGGCCTCATTGTCTTTTACAACCATGGAAGAAAGAATACAGTCCTCAGGGTGAGTTGCACCCTAACTACGCTATAAGTCCTGTGCAGGGCCAGGCCTGGCACGGCTGTGGACGGGGTGGAGGCTGATATTATTGGCCCTCCTCCTCACGCAGGAACTGAAACACTGAGGAGAAATCTTTATTGGCATAACCACGCGCGCACATCATACGGTAGATCTGATGGGCTAAAGAGCCGAGAGGGACCGGAGTCTTCGTGTTGGTGGCTGTGTTCTGTGCAAGGCCGAGATCCTAAAAGAAGAAAAGCAAACATACATTAAACAAACCCAACAGGGCTGAAAATGTAACTCTTAAAACAAAACCACAAGTCCACATACCGCAGAGAATTTTTCTTTATGTTGCTACAATATGGACTTGATTCCCTTTTAAGAGGGACGTTAACTCAACAATTCACTGCATCATTTCAAGTGGTTTGACCCAAGATAGACATTTTCCTAACACTGTAACCTAATCCCTGTCAGATGCACAAAATGTAAGTAGTCCTTGACTGACTTATGATAAATCTAAATTAATGTATTAATGTATTATATCTAAGAATATTAATAAAAATGACCCACTTAAAAGAAAAACATCAACCCCCTTCATTTGTCTCGTCAATCAAAAACTATTGGTGCCCACTGAAACACATTGTTTTTGTACACTTTTAGGAACCACTAACTATTTGGGCAAATTTAAAAACTTGATTTCTAAAGATTTTTATTAAAAGGGCGACTAGTAAGAACTTTAAAAAATGTTTTTTTACAGAATTTACAGAACCCAAATATTAAAATGTAATTGTGAGGAATATAGAGAAAGTCCAGTGTATTAGGTATTCTAAACTGACCTTGGCCATGAGCTGAGTGCCGAAGCCCCCCTGGTAGTTATTCCCAGAGGGGACTCCCTCCATGACTCCGGGCACAGGGTTG